AGGACTGAGGCAGCCTCGCTGATGGACGCCGCCGCCTCTTTTAGGGCGTTGACAAAAGTGCCCTTGAGGTTTTTCGATTTTGAGGCCACACTGAGTACCACCTGTATATTTTTCAGGACTTGCCTGTTCAGGGCCTCAACCGTTACGTCACTGGGGTTGGTGTTATTCCCGTCTAGAGTGACCTTACTCAGTCTGGCCGCCCTCGCCTCTGCCAGTAGCTCCTTCTCAGCTTCCGTCTGGAGCATCTGTCTTTGGGCTTCTACCAGAGCCCTTTTGGCGCTGGCCAGCCCCACGTAGTCCCCAGTTGTAGGGGGCCTACCTCTCCCTCTCCGCGCTGGTTTTGGCTGTGTAGCCCGCGCTCCTTTCATCGGTGATCCCGCTTCCGAGCGAGCCGATTCCATGCTACTCGATTCGGAATCCTCCGAATCCCTCACCTGCACTACCTGTTTAGTTGTTTTCAGATTTTCCATTTTGTTCCCACGAGAATGGGGGATATGTTGCGTAGACAGCGTGGCCCCCTGCTACTGCCTACGGTCTTGTACGCCGGGAGGGCGACAGGTACTCCCGGGTTTTACGCTAGCGACAGGTTTAACGCCCCTGCCACCACTAGGCACTCCCTCGGCACGTAGACCTTAGAGTGGACGAATTTTTTAAAGAGGTTGTCTCCTCGCGGCCCGGGCGGTTAAGCCAAGGCCCCCGTTCCTGACTAACTAGGCTGATAGACATGACACCAACACCTAGCGTCAGGGTTACGGTTTGCGATCGGTGGCACGAGTGTGCCTGCCCGGCTGCGCAGTGAAGCACCCACCGGGCCCGACCAGTCTCACTCCTTCGTGTCCCTCTAGCTAGTAGAGGGCATGAGGAGGAGGCAAGCTACGTCGCAGACGACGACGAACACACAACATAAATACGTCATCGTCGAAACATGTGACGTAGACGACGACAGAGTTGCCGACGAAAACTAATACAAGAACGACGATGACGATAAACACAGGACTATTTACAACACTGAACATTTAGACGTCACAATATTTACAACGCAGAATGTACGTTTATGTACACGGGCATGTGCCAGAGACGGCACACACCCCCTGCTGAGCGGTTTGTTCGGGCTCCGGTGTCCTCGGCTGAACCGAGGCTTAGGAGCTTCCGAAGTACCGACACCTTTTGGATGGACGCCGATGGTAATTGTCCATCCCCTACTCGCCGGGCTACTGGCCGACATAGTAGCCGTATCCCGAAGGAACGACTACTATCCCGCCCGGGGCGTACCAGAACCAAACCATTGCTCGGCCACCGTTCCCCGCGGACGTATCCACGAGGATGGGGAAGCCTCCCAATGGCAGGCCCATACTAGGAGGTTGCCCGACCCACGCCCCAACCTAACCTAACCTAACCTAACCTAACCTAACCAACCTAACCTAACCTAACCTAACCTAACCTAACCTAACCTAACCTAACCTAACCTAACCTTTTTTTTTTTTTTTTTACGTCAGGAAAATCCATCATGGAGAACCATTCCCTTAGGGAGGAATGGATACTGCCGGACTCCTACCTGCTAAAAAAAAAAAAAAACCTGACGACTATTCCTCCTTGAATCATATCGCCCGGGCCATGGGAACGCAAAGCATTCGCCCAAGACCCCGGCATGGTACCCATCGAAGGGACCTCCATCTAGGCGTGCAGGGAATAGTGTCTGCACGCCACCGCCAGACCCTAAAACCTCCCCGGCGAGCTTCGGATTGCCCTAACAATCCTCCACCCTAGGGTCAATTTTGGAGTCGATGCACACCTGATTTTACTCAAGCGTCCATCGACTCCCCCCCCCCACCTGTGGCCCGCGCCGCGGCTCGGGCCTTAGGCGGGCGACACAAATTAGTGACGCCCACTCTATGGTCGGATTTCCGACCCGCCGCGGCACAGTACCGACAGTTCGGTGATGGCGCGGCGCACCGTGCGGCCTTATGGCCGGGCTCGCTGCAGCGGAAACAGATTCCGCTGCAGTCTTCCCCGGCGGTGCATCGGACGCCCACATGGCCTGTAAGAAGGCACCGATAACACCGCTGAGGTCGCGGGTCCAGAGCCTGTACCCGCGCCATCACCCACCCGATCCTAAGCCGGCCGACCTCGGCCAACTTCTTAGCGGCGGCCACTGGGCACCGCACCCACACGGAGCCCGTACCCTGGGAGTTGCGCCGGATTTCCCCGGTTTTAACCGCGGACTCCAGGCAACCCCTCGCGCATCACGGCGACGACAACGTCAGCCACCAGTGTCGAGTCGTCCAGGTCTCCGATCCTCAGTTCGGCCGACTTAACTGGCCTGGAGACCCGGACGACGTCCTCGGGCAGGACCTCCTCGATCCTGGCGGCTAACGCGTCTGCCGCCTCGCCTGTGTTCGCGCCGGGTATTTCTAAAATACGGGCTCCGGTCCTTCCCAAACCTAACCTAACCTAACCTAACCTAACCGGAGGTTTTGTTTGTTCTCTAGGTTTTATATCACATTGTCAGATCGAAATATAATCGCCTTCTTCATTTTCTAGTGGCGCCATCTACCGTGTAATGGTGCGGGTGTAGTACTGTGTAGTCCTCTATGTTTTCTAGTGGTGCCATCTACCGTGCAGTAGTGTAGTTATAGTGCTGTAGTAGTACTCTACATTCTTTGGTGGCGTCATCTACCGTGCGCCCGGTTGTATATATGTGTACAGTGTATGTGTACTCATCTTCGGAAATGGGCCGCAGCCATGTAAATAAATAAATAACGATTATTAGTTTTTACGCCACGCAATCTTAACAACTTACGTAGGCACATAAGCATTTGTCCATATTCGCAGGCATCAAATAATCCAGTGCTGACGCGATAACTATTTTTTTTTTTTTTTTTTTTATACGATACGTCAATAGCTGTCTTTAATTACATGTCAATGGCTGCCTTTATCTGGCACGTCAATGACTACCTTTATTTGGCATGTCAATACTTGTCTCTAACTGTATTAACATATTATTACCAGTGTGTATAACATATTAAAAAAAAAAAAAAAAAGAATAGAAACTAGAGAGATGAGATCATCTCTATATTGGCTAGTCGATTCGCGTTGCTACGGATGCAAGTGCACTAGGTTACGGTACGGTTTTTGTTTTTTTTTTTTTTAGGGTAGTAACTATCTGCAGCGCCCTGAAAATTACACGAGGATCTCTTGCCTAGGGTAGTGCGCTGGTGAATGTGCCTACAGGATCGTGATTTGACGTTTGAATATCGTAAAGGTTAATTCATATCTCACGCATCGAAATCCTTTTAATAACCTCACGAATCGTAGTAGCATATGCTGCTGATGAGGAAACTACTTGTACAAGGGCAGTTGAATAGTTTGCGATATATAAAGAAAATAAATCTTAAAGAAAATAATTATTAATATATCTCTATAGGAAAAAGTCGCGATTATTGTTATATTTCTAAAGACTACGTGTTGACCATATTGACGTGGAAACGTTGTCGAGTTCAAATTAGTTGACGGTTTCAAAGTAGGGTCCATCTTGTAAAGAAATATTATAGGGCACGGAATTGTTTGTTTAATGTGTAAACATGTTACCTTATACCTTATATCACGTTCCTCTCCATCCAATGTCCAGGTCTACTATACTTTCAATACCTTAGGATGCAATACATAAAATGTAACAAATACAACATTAATTGAGAAATGTTTACGTAAGCATGGGGGGAGGGGTAAGAGCTTTGCTTACTTTTGCTGACAACGGGGGATGAGGGGTAAATAATTGTGATAAATCTGCTTACGTAATACTTGAACAGCCCCAAAGCATTATGTGGCTTCTATGTATACATGCTTAGATCAGATTTAGATTAGTCCTTGTGAGGCAACGTGATCCTACTTCCAAAATAAAATGCTTACCACTAACTTATGGTTCACAGGTTGTGAAGAGTCACTGTTGACTCGTCTCCGAGCAATAGCCCTGAGAATACCTTCAGCCTGGACAGAGCGCATAAGATTAGCAGTCGGACCAGACGACGCGCCCTACCCAGAAAGCATCGGGGACGATGCTCCGTCAGGAGAGGCCGTGTTAGGTGTAACTTCCTGTGGTGGCGCCACCGTCGTGCGGCGCGTCTATAAAAGGCTGCGAAACCCGGTGTGCGGCCTCTTTTGGTCGACAGACGTGCTCTCGAACGAATCTCCGTATCATACCGTATTTGCTTTATAAATTCTTGTACCGATTTTGTTAAAATTAAATATACAATTTGTTATAAATTTCTTTTATTTAATAAAATTTAGAGCATATTCCTAACAGTACCTTAAATACACATTGTCCATTTGATATAGATGAATATGGCCCTTTACAGCATGTAATTTAAAAGAATATTTCCGAAGATATTACAGATTTAAAATGCAAGACATACCGGTGCGGCCCGGCAGACGATATGTTTATCAAACGTAGTTTATAAGGATATTCTGTAGTAGGAACGTATATTTAGTATCGGCATTGCAACCGTGCGAGGCCGGGGTGGGTCGCTAGTAATTAAAACAATTGAAAAGGTTCTGGACCAATACATTACAGCCACAATCCTCGAAAAGGCTTCCCTACACATGAATCAACATACCTACCGCAAGGGACATTAGAATGTTAACATTAGAATCTCTGTAGACAGACACCGCTGTTGCAAACTCTTTGCACATTTTTATATATTCATTTTTCTACCAATTTTAAATGTATTTTCTTTTAGAATTGTCATATATTTTTATTGTCACTTTTTGCCTACAACCGTTTGTAAACGTATCTATCTTCATTATAAGTATTTTCCATTTTCTATCCATTGTTTGATTTACATTACACATACAGTCCACTCATTCTATCACCTACATTTTGGTCCTTCGAGGCAAACAAAAAAAAAAAAAAAACCATCCCAATATTTTCATTTATTGTTTCATTCGTAGTACATAGTTTCATACATATATTGTAATGCCATATCATTCATTTATGATCACTCGCAGTAGAAGTAAAATCATGGCATCACATAACGTTCCTACTACATCTCAGGCCGAATCATTATGTCATAGTCGCGGTTCATCGATTGTAGACGTAGTTGATAGGATTTGTGTAGACGACGGCGACGCCGCGTGTAGTTTGCGTTCAGCACAATCCAAATCTCGGGTTTCATCTTCATCCGTAAAGGCGCGTAGGGCTGCTGTTGAAGCCGCTTACAAACGACGGCAGTACGAGCGCGAGGCTATGCTTGCACAACGTCTTTCGGAAGTTGAAGATGCCGAATTTCGTGCCGAGATCGAACAAATCAATGCGGATGCGGACTGTGAAGGTAGCAGGCGAAGTAGGAGCACATGTACTCGTATGAGAACACAGCAATGGGTAAAGAACAATTTAAATACTAAGGTACGTGACAACAGTGAGGAACAACGCGAGGTCCCACAGCCTAGCTATCTGGCACCTACGGTACCGGTAGCCTCTCAGGCTGCTGCTTCACAAATAGCAGCACACCTCTCGTATCCGACACATGTAGGTTCTGTTCCCCATACATCCAGACAGGCGGCCATGCCACGACCGACCTCACACTCCATGGCAAATGTAGCGGGTGAACAACAGCATGTGCCAATATTAGGCAATAACGATGGTAATTCACATTTATTCTTACAAATTACCGCCAACATGGCTGATGCAGCCAATGCTTTAGCCACAGCTCAGGGCATGCGGAAGCACTGTAGGACAGAATTATTTCCGTTTACAGGGAACGCATTGCAGTGGCTACAGTTTAAAAAATTATTCAATGTTTCTAAACCGTCTTATTCTCCTGTAGAGAACGTTGCACGTTTACAAAACGTGCTCCCTGGCCCCGCACGAGAAGCCGTCTCATCACTTCTCGTCTCTGCAGAAGATCCCGAAGAGATCATGTGCGCACTCGAACGTAGTTTTGCGTCACCCGAGATGATCGTCTTCGGCGAAGTACAATCGTTGAAATCACTACCGCGGTTGGGTAACGAACTTAAAGAATTAAGTAGTATTGCTAACAAGGTACGAAATAGTATTTCTACTATAAAATTGTTAAATCGTAGGGAGTATTTACATTCTCCAGAATTATTTTACTCTATTTTAGGAAAATTAAATCCTAACATTAAATTAAGATGGACAGATTACGCGTCTGAGTTTAGTCAAGCGAACCCGGACCTATCTAAGTTAGAGGTACTGTCTGAATTTTTGACAAGAGAACACGAGCGTCATATTAGTTTCTGTCTATCTCCTGAAGGGGCACTTTCTTTAGCAACACAACAGACGCACATAAGTCATTTTGCTAATAAACAATTTAAACGTGAAAATATACATTCTACGTCTCATTCCAAATTAAAAAAATAAATAAGGTCGAATGCGTTTATTGTAAAAGAAGTCACAACATTAAATCTTGTGACGAATTTAAGTCACTGTCACTCGACGACAGATGGAGTTGGCTACGAAAATGTAAGGTTTGTTACAAATGTCTTCGACAGAGTTCACATTTATGGAAGTCATGCAAGGTAAATCCTTGTGGAATAAACGGCTGTTCCTTTCGGCATCATCCTCTTCTCCATGGTAGACAGGATACGTTAGTGTAGTCCCAGGCACCCGATACACTGCTCACAAATAATACAGTGTGTGCCACTGCAACTCAAAATGAGATGCTCACGGCAACGTCTCCTGACGTCATAGAGGAAGATACGGTTTTCATTAGCAACACCGGTATTTCGCAAACCAAACGAACCCTGTCAACGTATACAAATGTTTTATTAAAAATTGTACCTGTCACTGTTTTCGGATTAACTGGTAGTTATGACACATACGCACTGTTAGACGATGGTAGTACGGCCACATTAATTGATTCAGTCGTTGCCACTCAAATCGGACTAACTGGACCCAAGGAACCTATAACTGTCAATGGTATAGGTGGCCTACATAAAAACACTACCATTAGTTATGTAGATTTTTATATAAAAGGTAAGTATGCAACTAATATTTATTTTATAAAACATGCTAGGGCTATAACATCTCTTGGTTTACATGCGCAGTCATTGCACAAAGAGACATTGACAAGTTATAACCACTTACGCGATTTATCCGAGTTTTTGTCACATAATAATGCTACACCTACTATACTCATTGGTGCCGAAGACTGGCATTTGTCAATCTCTCGTGAAGTTCGTACAGGTAAGCGCAATGAACCTGTAGCCTGTCGTACGTTATTGGGTTGGACTTCATACGGAGTGGATTGTAGTAAAAGTAAACCTACTGAACGTATTAATTATTGTCAATTTTCGACTAGTGTGTTGTCCAATAACACAAGTAAACACCGATGCTATACGGAGCCGTCAATACAGTCTCCTAAAAAGTGGCCTATAAAACCACCTGTTCAGCCCGTTATTCAAACTGAACATGAACAACGCATTTATTCATTGGCTGTTCATCGGGTCATTACATCTAACTCTGCTCCATTCCATCACTGGTCACTTTTATATCGTGCCACTTCTCGTATTTTTGATCTTTTTAAATTTCGCTCGTTTATAGATAGCGTGATTCCTGGCTCAAAAATAGTGGCTCGAACCCGTCAACGTAAGACTTCTACGTCCACCACTTTATCAACTACGACAGCAGAACTGATAAAAACCACAGAAAGGCATATCTTACATCGCGTTCAACAAGATAGCTTCGAAGAAGATATCCAGCGTATCACGAGACCACAACCAACCGCGAAAACGAGTGACTTAATTAAACTTTTCATTTGTGATAGGAGAAGACAATGTCTTGCGCTCAGATGGAAGCATCAAGCTAATAACTTACGTGATACCGTCCGAAACGTAGTCTGTCGCTATCACTATCATAGAAGACGAGAAAAGACAGAGCCTAATGACTGGAGATGTTCTTCCACAACGGCCTGCTCATCATCGTCGATCTTTTCCATTCACTGGACAAGAATACTTCAGCCCAATGATTACTACTGTCGGCCGAAGACATAAAAACATATTGCTCTATCCACCTGATTAACATCTAGAGCTATTTATTTATTTATTGTTCGTCCACAACCTGTCTGCAGATTCAGCCACCATGAGTTGGTCTCCCGTTCCTAATTTTACTACCAACAGTGCTGTATACCAACAGCTGCCCAGTCTTTTGGAGGTTGTTGGGAGAGACTCGTCCTGCTGTACAAAAGTCGCTTCAAATTGACCGTCTATTGACGAAGCATAAGCCATAGTCACTCATCCTCAGTCATGGCTTAGTGGAAAATGATGACGAAGAAATCCCAACAGGTTTTATTTGGATCATCATTTACGGTACCGGTAGCCTCTCAGGCTGCTGCTTCACAAATAGCAGCACACCTCTCGTATCCGACACATGTAGGTTCTGTTCCCCATACATCCAGACAGGCGGCCATGCCACGACCGACCTCACACTCCATGGCAAATGTAGCGGGTGAACAACAGCATGTGCCAATATTAGGCAATAACGATGGTAATTCACATTTATTCTTACAAATTACCGCCAACATGGCTGATGCAGCCAATGCTTTAGCCACAGCTCAGGGCATGCGGAAGCACTGTAGGACAGAATTATTTCCGTTTACAGGGAACGCATTGCAGTGGCTACAGTTTAAAAAATTATTCAATGTTTCTAAACCGTCTTATTCTCCTGTAGAGAACGTTGCACGTTTACAAAACGTGCTCCGTGGCCCCGCACGAGAAGCCGTCTCATCACTTCTCGTCTCTGCAGAAGATCCCGAAGAGATCATGTGCGCACTCGAACGTAGTTTTGCGTCACCCGAGATGATCGTCTTCGGCGAAGTACAATCGTTGAAATCACTACCGCGGTTGGGTAACGAACTTAAAGAATTAAGTAGTATTGCTAACAAGGTACGAAATAGTATTTCTACTATAAAATTGTTAAATCGTAGGGAGTATTTACATTCTCCAGAATTATTTTACTCTATTTTAGGAAAATTAAATCCTAACATTAAATTAAGATGGACAGATTACGCGTCTGAGTTTAGTCAAGCGAACCCGGACCTATCTAAGTTAGAGGTACTGTCTGAATTTTTGACAAGAGAACACGAGCGTCATATTAGTTTCTGTCTATCTCCTGAAGGGGCACTTTCTTTAGCAACACAACAGACGCACATAAGTCATTTTGCTAATAAACAATTTAAACGTGAAAATATACATTCTACGTCTCATTCCAAATTAAAAAAATAAATAAGGTCGAATGCGTTTATTGTAAAAGAAGTCACAACATTAAATCTTGTGACGAATTTAAGTCACTGTCACTCGACGACAGATGGAGTTGGCTACGAAAATGTAAGGTTTGTTACAAATGTCTTCGACAGAGTTCACATTTATGGAAGTCATGCAAGGTAAATCCTTGTGGAATAAACGGCTGTTCCTTTCGGCATCATCCTCTTCTCCATGGTAGACAGGATACGTTAGTGTAGTCCCAGGCACCCGATACACTGCTCACAAATAATACAGTGTGTGCCACTGCAACTCAAAATGAGATGCTCACGGCAACGTCTCCTGACGTCATAGAGGAAGATACGGTTTTCATTAGCAACACCGGTATTTCGCAAACCAAACGAACCCTGTCAACGTATACAAATGTTTTATTAAAAATTGTACCTGTCACTGTTTTCGGATTAACTGGTAGTTATGACACATACGCACTGTTAGACGATGGTAGTACGGCCACATTAATTGATTCAGTCGTTGCCACTCAAATCGGACTAACTGGACCCAAGGAACCTATAACTGTCAATGGTATAGGTGGCCTACATAAAAACACTACCATTAGTTATGTAGATTTTTATATAAAAGGTAAGTATGCAACTAATATTTATTTTATAAAACATGCTAGGGCTATAAAACATCTCTTGGTTTACATGCGCAGTCATTGCACAAAGAGACATTGACAAGTTATAACCACTTACGCGATTTATCCGAGTTTTTGTCACATAATAATGCTACACCTACTATACTCATTGGTGCCGAAGACTGGCATTTGTCAATCTCTCGTGAAGTTCGTACAGGTAAGCGCAATGAACCTGTAGCCTGTCGTACGTTATTGGGTTGGACTTCATACGGAGTGGATTGTAGTAAAAGTAAACCTACTGAACGTATTAATTATTGTCAATTTTCGACTAGTGTGTTGTCCAATAACACAAGTAAACACCGATGCTATACGGAGCCGTCAATACAGTCTCCTAAAAAGTGGCCTATAAAACCACCTGTTCAGCCCGTTATTCAAACTGAACATGAACAACGCATTTATTCATTGGCTGTTCATCGGGTCATTACATCTAACTCTGCTCCATTCCATCACTGGTCACTTTTATATCGTGCCACTTCTCGTATTTTTGATCTTTTTAAATTTCGCTCGTTTATAGATAGCGTGATTCCTGTTTCAAAAATAGTGGCTCGAACCCGTCAACGTAAGATGTCTGCGTCCACCACTTTATCAACTACGACAGCAGAACTGATAAAAACCACAGAAAGGCATATCTTACATCGCGTTCAACAAGATAGCTTCGAAGAAGATATCCAGCGTATCACGAGACCACAACCAACCGCGAAAACGAGTGACTTAATTAAACTTTTCATTTGTGATAGGAGAAGACAATGTCTTGCGCTCAGATGGAAGCATCAAGCTAATAACTTACGTGATACCGTCCGAAACGTAGTCTGTCGCTATCACTATCATAGAAGACGAGAAAAGACAGAGCCTAATGTCTGGAGATGTTCTTCCACAACGGCCTGCTCATCATCGTCGATCTTTTCCATTCACTGGACAAGAATACTTCAGCCCAATGATTACTACTGTCGGCCGAAGACATAAAAACATATTGCTCTATCCACCTGATTAACATCTAGAGCTATTTATTTATTTATTGTTCGTCCACAACCTGTCTGCAGATTCAGCCACCATGAGTTGGTCTCCCGTTCCTAATTTTACTACCAACAGTGCTGTATACCAACAGCTGCCCAGTCTTTTGGAGGTTGTTGGGAGAGACTCGTCCTGCTGTACAAAAGTCGCTTCAAATTGACCGTCTATTGACGAAGCATAAGCCATAGTCACTCATCCTCAGTCATGGCTTAGTGGAAAATGATGACGAAGAAATCCCAACAGGTTTTATTTGGATCATCATTTAACCGAACTAAAACTGAAGCCTTACATGACAGAGACTCGTACGGTAAGCTAAAGAAGATATCAGATTCCATGTAACCATGTCTAAATAATAATAAAGAGCGCAATGCTAGACACTAGCGATTTGGTTGTGATCGTGGACGAAAACCTACCGAGAGTAACTTCGTGGATCCAGTACAGCGACTTTTCCAATGAAACAAAAGTGTTGTTAGGGTGGTGGACGTAGTAGAACTACTGCAGGGGTTTGCTTCGCCGCCTCTTCAAAAAGTCATATCAAACTCTTAGATTTCGGTTTCTCCTTATTTTGGCTAGTTTGTGCAGTTCTGCACCAGGGGTCGGTATGTTGCAAACTCTTTGCACATTTTTATATATTCATTTTTCTACCAATTTTAAATGTATTTTCTTTTAGAATTGTCATATATTTTTATTGTCACTTTTTGCCTACAACCGTTTGTAAACGTATCTATCTTCATTATAAGTATTTTCCATTTTCTATCCATTGTTTGATTTACATTACACATACAGTCCACTCATTCTATCACCTACAACCGCCTTGCTCGAACTCAGCGACGAGGTAGAGAAGGCCTATTTCATATATATGTAAAATCTTATTCGAAAAGATTTAAAAAAAAAAAATCTTTGTCAGTCATTTCTCATTTTCAAGTCTCTCTATTTAGGTAAAATAATAACTAAATTTAAGATAAAATAAATGCCACTGGGAAAGTAATAAATAGCAAAACTGGAAAAGTTAATGTTTAAAAAATAACAAAAATATTCATAACGACTTGGGAAATTCCGATACAGAGATCGCGGATACTTTCGAATCTTATTTCTACTAATCTAACAGACAGTGGTAAGAAGTTATCAGCTGTATTTAACTTCAGACATATAACATCCAGTGGCGGCGTTAGGCGTCGCGCGTCGCCAACGTTCACAAAGTCTCACAAAGTTTTTAATTATTTAAAATTTTGTTACTTATTTTCATACAGTTGAGAGAGTAAAAAGTGTGAATAGAACTTTACAGGATTTAAATATATCCAAATGTTTATATAACAATTAGAATCATGGTCACAGTTCCCGTCAGTACAATTTCTGCTGAGAGAAGCTTCCGAAAGTTATAATTGATTATGACCTACTTGAGAGGCACGATGAGTCAAGAGAGAATATCTGCGTTATCAGTTGTATCAATTGAAGCTGAAATAGCGACTAGTGTTAGCTATTACATAATGCTGAAAAAGTTTAGTATTTCCAAAAGCGTAAAAGTTCGTCTATTTTAATAATTGTCATCATGAGTTTGTCATTAGCAATAAATTTCGTTTACTCATACATTAGTTTAAGTATAATTCGGCTTATGTAATTTAACGTTCTTGACTTGAAAAGGAGGCCTCGCGAACCCTAATTTATCTAATTCGTCTAGCACCACTGATAACATCAGTAGAAGGAATGAAAATGTTTAAGAAAAAGAAAAAAAAAAAAAATGCCAGGGAGTATCGATATGGGTCTATCATTTCTTGGGTCACTCCTATTTCCAAATTTCAAAAGTGGTATGATTTTACCAATTTTCATTATGCAGTCGTTACAGCTTAAGATGCATGTTTTCCAAATTTACATGATGGTAACTTTTTACCATCAGATGACGTATACTTGTCTCCCACCATCGTAGTATATGGGCACTTTTTTTAATAAATTTACAGTACATTTTACAACTCAAAGGAATGTTAATTGTTTTCTAAATAATGTGTACACAAATATTTAAATAAATAAGTAAACATATTTTTAAAATTTCTAGTAATTTATCTATCTATTATTATTAGTAATTAATCTATCTATTAATTTATTGTCTAATTATTTACAAAAATAGAAATGTTGCTGTACGACTATTGTCAACTTAAAACTTTTTAAGGTTGGCAACCCTGACACTTTCTCTATTTAGTCTGTGTTCGCGTTACTGTTTCTGTGATTAATACTGATCAAATTGTATCTGTGCCAATCACGGTTTAAAAAAAAAATATATATCATTGTTACAATTTTCCTACAAGATTTTATTAACAAAATATAAAACAATAAAATGGCTTCGGTAAAAGACGTAGCATCTCTGTATCAAAATTTGAAAACGGAATGGGGAAAGAAACCTCGCAAACTTGACAAATGTGCAGAGTTGTTAAATAAAATCAAGGTACGTACAACTGTACTGTTACGATGACTGGACAAAATTTCTAAGCGTCTGTTTCATTAGATTATTTTTTAGTAATTACTTCCATTCATCGTTAATTGCTGATAACTCTCATACTGTTTCTTATGAGCATAATTATCTACATGGGTATTGTTTCTCTAACAAGTTATTGTTCCGTTTCCCAGGTCGCCCTTACGCAGTTGACGTTTCTCCCCAGTAATAACACTGCTGCTAATCAAAAGGAATTAATTTTGGCGAGAGATGTTCTAGAAATAGGTGCTCAATGGGCCGTGGCTGCGAAAGACGTGAAAGCTTTCGAGCGTTACATGTCACAGTTAAAATGCTATTATTTTGATTACAAGTAAGTTGAATTGTATCATTTTCTTTTGATTTTTTATTATAATGTACAGATCTAGCTTCAATTTTCTATCACTTTTGTAAATCTTATATATTGGCGTTAGTTAGATTAGAATTAATGGCAAAGTGGCAAATCATCTATACATATAAAATAAAATTGGAGTGTCTGTTTGTAATTTTGAAATAATCGTTTTATACTACATGCACATGTATGCATATGAATATAAATATGGTACTTACACCAAATTCACATTTTTACAATTTTTGTCTGTCTGTCTCTTTGTTCCGCCTAATCTCTGAAATGGCTGGACCTATTATGACAGGACTTTTATTGGCAGGTAGCTGATGTAATAAGGAGTAACTTAGACTACTTTTATTTTAGAAACATAAAGTTAAATTCCACAGTGACAGTCGGGTGTACAGCTAGTTGTCAATATAATTGATGTTCGTGTATGTTGATGCCAGGGTATGGCGCTTGGTTGTTCTTGTTTAGGTGTTAATTTAAGTCACAGGTACAATAAAATGCATACCATTTTTAATTTCAGAGATCACCTCCCAGAATCGGCCTTCATGTATCAACTGTTAGGTTTGAACCTGCTGTTCCTTCTGTCACAGAACAGAGTAGCCGAGTTCCACACTGAATTGGAGCGTCTGTCAGTGGATGTGATCAGAGCCGACCCGTATGTGAGGCATCCACTTGCATTGGAGCAGTACCTTATGGAGGGTAGTTACAATAAGATCTTTTTAGCAAAGGTACATGTCATTTGTGTTACTCACATGTTTTTTTTTTTTTTGCCGATCAGACATTGTCATTTATCAGATACTAGCCAGTCTTTGTACAAAGTAATAACGATACCATGTTCTATTTGTTTGCACATGATTTGTTCACAGTAACGTTATAATTTTGTGACATACAGCCCCTGTTGCTCATTTAGATTCGAATAAAATAATAATATTAATACATTCATGGAGGTTCCCTCACTGCTGCAGTGCTTGCAGCTGTAGTGTAATCTGCCATTTCACCTGTTTGATATATTCTGTGTAAAAAAAAAAATAACTCACAATTAAACCCTATATGTGCAGCTTTGTGAATATGTTCATATTCACCTGTCTACTGCTGTACAATGAATCACTTTTATTTTAAAAACATAACTTATAATATTTTATCTACGACCACAACCCCACATTATGTCTGTATTGTGGAAGTCAAAGCAGGTGAACTTAACATTTGTGCAGAATACAATGCATCTATGTTTAATGGGTATAAATAATATAGCTTTGGTTTCCATATTCCCTTTGGCAAACACATTCTCCATTTACTACCATTATAATCCTGTCTAGAACATTACCATGGTGTTACTTATGCCATTTTGACACATTTGTGACTAGCATCTTCTCTTCTAAATTATTTATTTAAAAACATAATGTATGATTGTTACTTATGCTGTTTTAATATTCAGGGTAATGTACCAGCTGAGAGTTACACACTATTCATGGACACATTACTGGAGACTGTGAGGGGAGAGATCGCTGCATGTATTGAGAAGGCATATTTAAGTATCCCTTGTGCCGAAGCTGCCAGGAGACTGAATTTACCGTCACAGCAAGCTGTGCTTGACTATGGGAAGAGAGTAAGTATCTTTCTATTTATTAATTTATAAAAAAAATATAGTTATTATTAGGGCTACTGTTTTTATACAATCAGAGACCCTACTAATATAGTCTCATTAAACAATAAACTCAATATATTGTCTATATCTAAGCAAAGCCTATTCCTTACTAAACAATTACTTGAATGACGAGTGTGCATGGCAATAGTTGTTCATGCACTGGATTTTCATTTAATGTTAGACATAGACTATATAAAAAGTAATTCAATTGAGTTTCTTGCTAGTTCTTCTCAATCGGATCTATATACCGAACTGGATGAAATAATCCCATACCGAGGGAAGAAATAAAAATTATAATGTAAAAATTTGATGTTCATAAGCAACTAAAATGTCCTACATAAATAAATGCTTTTTTAATTGTATTTATCTGAGACTACATTATTTAACACTTGTTGATTTTAACAGAAAAGTAACTAGGTTTGTAATTGTACATTATGGTTCACAGTTATTCACAGTTCCTTACATAATCGAAATACATTGGATTTTATTGTTCAATAAAATTTATTATTAGCAATGTTTTTATATGATTAACTTACTGCATTCATACTCCATCCGAATCAACAAAAGAAATTAAGCTTATCAACAAAAACTAAAAAGATTACTAGGTAGGTAGGATGTACATTTTCGTAATTAATTTCATATTAATCTGCAAAAATAGTATTGCAATATCCTAATGTAAAATCAGGGTGCACCTATACACAATAATATTACTGTTAAAATACTTTGTGTACTAATCAATGATATGGTTTCTGTTTCAGCGCAATTGGGTTTTAGGTCCAGATAATTGTTATCATTTCAATGCCGCCGAAGAGAGCTGCGCCGCTGCAGCTGGAGTGTTGCCGTCTTCCGAACTTGCGGAACAAACGATCGAGTATGCGAAGCATTTGGAGATGATTGTTTAGATTACATAAATATTTTTAACTTCATACCCTTTGTCCATATTATTAAATAAATAAATAAAAAAAAACAGTATAAAATTATTTTGCATAAAGTTGTTTTATTACATTACTGTTGCGGTACATAATTAATGTAGGTACTAATTACAATCAATTGTACAAAGATGAGAGATCATCCAGTTTTAATAATTGTATAAAATGTTCTAAGGCAGTCTGCAAGTTCCAACTTTTTATTTCTAAGCATCTGAAAAAAGATAGCAATGAATAATATTTAAAAAAACACATTAGGATATACCGTAAGACAATGGATGTACTAAAAAAACTACCTTTCACTTGCTTTCTTGTCTAACTCGGTCAAATTAATAAATATTTCCATCAATTTTTCTTTAAGATAATCGTCTGGGGCCTCATCCAATTTAAGACTTAATGCATTGGATGGAATCTGAAAAAGAAAATCAAAATTAATAAGAGTCTCATTGATTTCTTTATTAGTGTCGTAGTGGTGAATGTAACAACAGACCATTTGCGCGAAGCATATTAAATTCTCGCGGGAATAATGAGTATTCACGTCCTAGTGTTGTACCGGCTCTGTTACAGAGTAGCATTTGCATATTATGGGTACGGTCGTAGCGTAATAAAAAAAAGAGTAGTAATTAATACTTATAATTATATTATGTAATGTAGATGCTTTTAAATGTAAATAGTGTTATAATTTTCGTGCATATTGATTAAGTTTTCTTTACTTTGTCAAAACGTATGTAGCTCAATTTTTTATTAATTAGTCTATGAAACAGTACTAGGAAAATGATCACGATGATTATAGTGTTATATTCTTACGTTTCTATTATAAAATATTTAATATAAGGAACATACGAATATTACAAAAACAGTAAGTTACTGTTATAATCTAAAAATATATATTTTTAAAAAGTTTTATGCGATTCCATTCATAGAATGGAAACAAAGACAATATTTATTTTTGGTACTGGAAACATTTCATTGATTTACCGACGCCGCTGTCAAAAACACTGCATTGCTATATTGCTATTTCCGATTTATTAGAAAATCAACATAAATATAATTATTACGTCGTACAAGTTAAAATGAAGAAACATCAAACGCGGCAGAAGACGTTGAACGATCCAGTGATAGTATCTCGTGTTAAAAACTACTTGGCTGAGAATGTGGACAAAACGTTCGTCGATGTGAGCCAAATGGCGCGTTCTCTCAAAGAGCGCTATCGCGAATATAATAATCGGAGTGATACTGCATTCTGCCAGATGGTCGAGGGCGCCTATAAAGTCGTACTACAGAGCTACGGCCTCGACGGGGCCTCTACTTCTGATGGTTCAGAGGAAGAATCCGATTTGGAGTTACTAGATGAAAACAACACCGCCCTAAACGACCGATTGCTCGCTATGTACAAATTACAAGACAAGAAACGGCCTGCTGCGTCTCGCCGAGCCACTGACAAGTCGGGGGAGCCGATAGACATCCTTAGCAGTGATGAAGATGGTTCTGCCGCACCCAAATTACCGAAAATCAATGATCAGATTACTATAACCCCACATATACCGACGCGGAATACAAGCAGCACACCAATGGAGAATCCTAAAATGCAGCTAGGAGTACACATAGCTGACAAAAGACGAAAGCTGGAGAGTAATAAACATGCAAGTACAAAGAAAAAATATGATACTCCACCAAAAAATGTAAAGGTTAGTTTTGAAGACATCGGTGGCATATCAGAAATTATAACCCAAATATGTGATCTGATACTGCATATGAAACATCCTGAAGTGTACAGTCAGTTAGGTATTAAGGCACCTCGAGGTGCACTGCTGCACGGCCCGCCCGGCACAGGTAAAACACTGTTGGCACATGCTATTGCGGGTAAGCTGCAGTTACCACTTATTGCTGTTTCGGGCACAGAGTTAGTTGGTGGTATGTCTGGAGAGTCAGAGGAAAGGATCAGAGAACTATTTGAAAGAGCAGTGTCAGTTGCACCGTGTGTTTTATTCATAGATGAAATAGATGCAGTCTGTGGCAACAGAGTGCATGCTCAGAAAGACATGGAGAAACGGATGGTCGCCCAGCTATTGGCTAGTTTAGATGGTTTAAATGACAGTAGTGCTTCAGTCCTTATTCTCGCAGCAACAAATAATCCAGATGCCTTAGATCCTGCTTTAAGACGAGCAGGACGCCTTGAACAAGAACTCACCTTAGGTATTCCGTCATTAAAATCTAGAAAAGAAATCCTCTCAATCTTATGTAAAAATATATCTCTAAGTGAAGATGTTGACCTGAATGCTGTTGCTCAAATAACACCAGGTTTTGTTGGTGCAGATTTACAAGCTCTTGTTAATAAGGCAAGCACTTATGCCGTTAAAAGAATTTTTGCTGAAATGCGTGCGGAATCTTTAAAACAAGAAAATTCTGGAAAATTGAAAAATGATGCACCTCCTGCTGTAACTAATGGAGAAAAAGTACCTGAAGAAACAGCTCCTGAGAGTGACACCTCTGATCAACAACCAGAGGGATCAGTTCCGCAACCAGAACAAAACAGAGAATCTCCAGCCCAAGAGGCACCTATTGAAAATTCTGTTGTTGTGGACACTAATCATATAGAAATAAAAAATAATGTAAAAACTGTTGTATTAGATCCTGTAGATGAAGTACTTGGCCTTTTGGAAGACACCATGCCATACACTCAAGAAGAATTGAAGGGACTCGCAATCAGACAAGAAGACTTCCTAAAAGCTCTCAAAACAATTAAACCATGTGCTGTGAAAGAAGGTATTGTAACTGTACCCGATGTTACATGGGACGATGTAGGATCATTAAATCAAGTTCGCAAAGATTTACAATTAGCTGTGTTAGCACCTGTAAAGTATCCAGAGCAACTTAAAAAACTTGGTTTGTCCGCATCAAGTGGGGTTTTACTTTGTGGCCCACCAGGTTGTGGTAAAACATTGCTAGCAAAAGCAGTCGCAAACGAAGCAGGTGTGAATTTCATTTCAGTTAAAGGCCCGGAATTGCTCAATATGTATGTTGGTGAAAGTGAAAGAGCCGTGCGAACATGTTTCAGACGCGCGCGTAATTCGGCCCCATGCGTTATATTCTTTGATGAGTTTGATGCTCTGTGTCCTAGGCGAACCTCACAAGATCACAATGGAGCAGCCAGAGTTGTCAATCAATTGCTCACTGAAATGGACGGCATTGAAAGTCGGGAAGGGGTATTCGTGTTGGCTGCATCCAATAGGCCAGATATTATAGATCCAGCTGTACTGAGACCTGGCCGTTTAGACCGTGTTATGTATGTTGGAATGCCAGAGAGGGAAGACAGATTTGATATACTTAAAAAACTTACAAAAAATGGCACACAGCCTCAACTGGGGCCAGAAGTTGATCTGCAAGTTATTGCAGAGCTGACTGCGGGCTATACAGGAGCTGACCTGGCGGGTTTGGTGAAGTCCGCAGCCACTAATTCATTAACGATTCACATTTCAAACGGAACCATAAATGAAGATATTTTTGTTTCATTTGAAGATTTTAGAACGGCTCTGACTAAGTGCAAACCTTCAGTTTCATCAAAAGAACAATTGCATTATGAAAAACTGAGATTAAAGTACGCGTCCGGGGCGGACGACAAAGACATGGAAATGGAGACCGAGCCTACAAACGAGGAATCCATGGACACTGTTTGAGAATCATTTGAGCTTTGGTTTCTATGTTAGTATTTGTTTCTGTAATATCATGTCCCTTAATATTGTAAGTGTGTGTATTCTATAGTGCCAAGTTGTACTCTCAAACAGACGATCAGAGAAATTGCTAGATTAATAGATATTATTTTTTAGCTGGTCCTTGAGTACTGTGAACTGTTCCGGTCACAGTCCAGTACTATGAGGTATTAAATTAAACTGTACTCTGATATCCCAGGAACATAATGTGACATGCAATGTAGGAACAATTATAATGGGATAACATATGTATGCTCCTAAGGCCATTTATAATTACTGCACATTTTTTGCACATTGAATTTGAATGAGAAATAAAAATATTTTACTTATTGTGTTGTTTTCTCTGTAGCCTGTTGCAGCCGGCACCTACTATTACTATTTTTGTATTATTAATATTCTACTACTATAATATTATATATATAAATAAATAGTTTACAATCGTTGTGTTTGGAAATATTATTTTCAACCAACTTCAAAACGTAGGTGGGTCTCAAACCTTTCAAAGGACTTACATACAAACCAAATTATGTGTAGGTCATTTGATAACTTTGTCATTTCTGCGCCAATTATGATGATTCTTTCATATTGGCTGATTCATCATGATTCATGAAAGAATCAATATAATTGGTGTATAAATGATAAAGTTAAGGACAGACTTTGTACAAGGTTGTGAGCCTCCAAACAACTTGCTATTGTATGCAGTGTGTCGGTTAAAGGGTGAGATAGGGTAGTGAACAGGCCGGACAGGTGTTTTCATTATAATTAAATAAAAAAATAATGATTGCATTCGATAAAATAAATATTATGTTCTAGCAGGCATTACTTTATCTATTACAATATATACCACACTTGTCCACTTCGAGGTAAATGGAGACTACTTGAACTAATCCATTAATAGAACATAATAAATATGCTATTCTTAATAAATATATAGTCGGCAAATAGAAGATGTTCCGCCATTTATATTTGGTTGCAAATAATCTTAATGTATATTAAAATGTAATTATACACTTTTTTAAAATTTAACGTGAAGCGTAGAACCTCGACATTGTTTTTTTTTCCTTTTATAAATTTATATACTGTTCTCGAATATTCCATTGAATATATTAAGTGTACAAAATGATTCTGTCAACTTTTAATTATCATAACTACAAACATTACACATATTTTTCCAATGTTTGGTGACTAGTTCAGAAATTTCAAAACCTGTCAATGCCGAGAAACAATTCGGTAAAGACCGAGTTGGACATGTACACCGAAGGTGCCGAACAAATAATATAAATAGGTTTTATTTTCTTTATACTATAATATATCACATCATAATTATATTTATATATAGCCTGTGGGCGTTAGGATTTCTTAGATAAAGGACACATCAAAAATAAAGTAGTTTTTTTCTAAATTATTTAGGTGTAGTAGTATATACATGTACCTTGGTGAGGGTGAAGGCGGTGGCTAATAATATATTTATATATAGGGTGAAGGCCTGTGGGCCCGGAACTGACCTTGTTAGGATTTCGGTGGCTGCGAGGGGCCCGGAACTTGTTGTGAGATAAAGGAGGCCCTGACCTAGGGTGAAGGCGCATTTAATCCGAAAAATAAAGTAGTTTTTCTCGTTCTCCTCGTTTACATTTATAGGCACATTCTTTTTTGCATGAAATTCGATTCGTGTATGATAGAGCGTACAAGTATGGTATGGTATGTACCTTGGTGAGGGTGAAGGCGGTGGCTGCGAGCTGTGGTGCGGGCTCGTCCCATACTGCCAGTTCTCCGGCGATGCGGTACTCGCCTCCGGCCGCATGTCGCAGTACTATCGTTTTGGCGAACGACACCTTGGTGAGGGTGTTCCTCCTCCGACAGGGTGACTCTCCGACGTCCCATACTGCCAGTTGGCGACGCCCACAATGTTTAATATGGTCGTTGAGTCCTAATGCAAACGAAAATTACTTCTTAGTGATAAATAGCCACCCAATAACAATTTATATAATCGATATAGGTATCGTATCCGAAGGAGTGGAGGAGTGTGGGGTGGGGCCGCACTCACCGCGTGGTGGAGGACGTCCACGCTGCACGCGTGGGGGTCGTGTGTGGGGTGGGGCCGCACTCACCGCGTGGTGGAGGACGTCCACGCTGCACGAGTGGGGGTCGTGTGTGGGGTGGGGCCGCACTCACCGCGTGGTGGAGGACGTCCACGCTGCACGAGTGGGGGTCGTGTGTGGGGTGGGGCCGCACTCACCGCGTGGTGGAGGACGTCCACGCTGCACGAGTGGGGGTCGTGTGTGGGGTGGGGTCGCACTCACCGTGTGGTGGAGGACGTCCACGCTGCACGAGTGGGGGTCGTGTGTGGGGTGGGGCCGCACTCACCGTGTGGTGGAGGACGTCCACGCTGCACGAGTGGGGGTCGTGTGTGGGTTTGGGCCGCACTCACCGTGTGGTGGAGGACGTCCACGCTGCACGAGTGGGGGTCGTGTGTGGGGTGGGGCCGCACTCACCGCGTGGTGGAGGACGTCCACGCTGCACGAGTGGGGGTCGTGTGTGGGGTGGGGTCGCACTCACCGTGTGGTGGAGGACGTCCACGCTGCACGAGTGGGGGTCGTGTGTGGGGTGGGGCCGCACTCACCGTGTGGTGGAGGACGTCCACGCTGCACGAGTGGGGGTCGTGTGTGGGGTGGGGCCGCACTCACCGTGTGGTGGAGGACGTCCACGCTGCACGAGTGGGGGTCGTGTGTGGGGTGGGGCCGCACTCACCGCGTGGTGGAGGACGTCCACGCTGCACGAGTGGGGGTCGTGTGTGGGGTGGGGTCGCACTCACCGTGTGGTGGAGGACGTCCACGCTGCACGAGTGGGGGTCGTGTGTGGGGTGGGGCCGCACTCACCGTGTGGTGGAGGACGTCCACGCTGCACGAGTGGGGGTCGTGTGTGGGGTGGGGCCGCACTCACCGCGTGGTGGAGGACGTCCACGCTGCACGAGTGGGGGTCGTGTGTGGGGTGGGGTCGCACTCACCGTGTGGTGGAGGACGTCCACGCTGCACGAGTGGGGGTCGTGTGTGGGGTGGGGCCGCACTCACCGTGTGGTGGAGGACGTCCACGCTGCACGAGTGGGGGTCGTGTGTGGGGTGGGGCCGCACTCACCGTGTGGTGGAGGACGTCCACGCTGCACGAGTGGGGGTCGTGTGTGGGGTGGGGTCGCACTCACCGTGTGGTGGAGGACGTCCACGCTGCACGAGTGGGGGTCGTGTGTGGGGTGGGGCCGCACTCACCGTGTGGTGGAGGACGTCCACGCTGCACGAGTGGGGGTCGTGTGTGGGGTGGGGTCGCACTCACCGTGTGGTGGAGGACGTCCACGCTGCACGAGTGGGGGTCGTGTGTGGGGTGGGGCCGCACTCACCGTGTGGTGGAGGACGTCCACGCTGCACGAGTGGGGGTCGTGTCTGAGTTGGGGCCAGCAGCTGAGGGCGCGTGCTGCTGCTGCTGCTCCCTGTATGGTGTCTTTGTCGTCGTCGTCGTCAGAGCTGCGGTCGCGGGGCGCCATCTTGCGGAAGTATCTGTACACTGGGAAGTCGATGCGTTCTCGTTACTCGCATTTCGTCACCTCAAATACTGGCAGGGCTGGTTTTAAATTGTTGTACACATTACTCAAATAGACATAGTAAACACTGCGTGAGTGACGCGCCTCGGCGTCTTCCGTTTCGATCGTCAAACAATTTGCTTTTGTAAATTTTTTTGGCTGTAGGGTGATGAGTTATAATTACAGGATATAGAGGCGTAACATCTCAGTTCTCTGGAATGATGCATGAGAGTTATCAGCGAGCACGTATTCTACGAACTGTGTACGTGTGTGTGCGTGGGTACGTACATATATTCATACTTACAGTATTTATGTTTGTATGTGACAGTGACCAACGTGTTCTTGTCATAGAGGCGTTTGATGGAAAGGCGGCGAGCCTCCAGCAGCGGGAAGTACACCTCCAGGAACTTCTCCACCAGCGGATGCGCCTCCTCGGGGCAGTAGTTCTTTACGGACGGAGGCAGGTCGCCTTTCAGCGTTATGGGAACATCGTCCTGGTGGGAAATAAAGTTTGTTTAGAGAGTTCGGGCCGAGGGTTGATGTTCTAGATGAGAGGAACGCGGAAACTTTGTAAAGTTAAATATGTAAAATAAAATATATAATATAAAGTGATATCAATATACATGTTTTACAAGTAACATAATTTATAAAACAATAGTATATTTCGTCAAATAGGTATTTGAGTATAAAGTTGTGTTCAGTTTGCGATTAGGTGTCGTCTTATTTAATTATTTGTTCTTATTTATATTTCTTGTCGTGTCGGATTATTTACAGAAAATTTAAATATGATTTCTTTATAGATGTATAATAAATATACAGAGTGTGCACCTCAGACCAGCGAAATCTACTCGCGTATCGTGCTGGAATTGAAAGCGCGAAAGTCGGACGCACGGCCCGGACCGGGACGACGGACACGACTGCGACACAGTCCGATGTAGGGGTCGGCGATTAACGTCGTTTGTATCGGTGTTTTCTATGTATAATATACATATGTATGTATTTAAGAAAAAAAAATTATGTACGTATTTCCCGTCCGACGGATACGACTTCAGTCTGAGGGTGCCGCTAGGGGTGGGAACTTCGGTTCGGGCCGTCGCGGTCGGGCTCCTCGCGATCGTTTCCGACGGTCGTCGTGTTAAAATTCGTCAATATTTTCTACGTCGAGTCGACGTCGTCAATTTCATCACTACGGTGTCGGACATTCGAGAGCGGCACTCACGAGGAGGGCCAGCTCGGAGAACCGCGTCCGCACGAGGCGCAGGTAGCGGCGGGGGTGGGTGCGGTACTCACGAGGAGGGCCAGCTCGGAGAACAGCGTCCGCACGAGGCGCAGGTAGCGGCGGGGGTGGGTGCGGTACTCACGAGGAGGGCCAGCTCGGAGAACAGCGTCCGCACGAGGCGCAGGTAGCGGCGGGGGTGGGTGCGGTACTCACGAGGAGGGCCAGCTCGGAGAACAGCGTCCGCACGAGGCGCAGGTAGCGGCGGGGGTCGGTGCGGTACTCACGAGGAGGGCCAGCTCGGAGAACAGCGTCCGCACGAGGCGCAGGTAGCGGCGGGGGTCGGTGCGGTACTCACGAGGAGGGCCAGCTCTGAGAACAGCGTCCGCACGAGGCGCAGGTAGCGGCGGGGGTGGGTGCGGTACTCACGAGGAGGGCCAGCTCTGAGAACAGCGTCCGCACGAGGCGCAGGTAGCGGCGGGGGTGGGTGCGGTACTCACGAGGAGGGCCAGCTCTGAGAACAGCGTCCGCACGAGGCGCAGGTAGCGGCGGGGGTGGGTGCGGTACTCACGAGGAGGGCCAGCTCTGAGAACAGCGTCCGCACGAGGCGCAGGTAGCGGCGGGGGTGGGTGCGGTACTCACGAGGAGGGCCAGCTCTGAGAACAGCGTCCGCACGAGGCGCAGGTAGCGGCGGGGGTGGGTGCGGTACTCACGAGGAGGGCCAGCTCTGAGAACAGCGTCCGCACGAGGCGCAGGTAGCGGCGGGGGTGGGTGCGGTACTCACGAGGAGGGCCAGCTCTGAGAACAGCGTCCGCACGAGGCGCAGGTAGCGGCGGGGGTGGGTGCGGTACTCACGAGGAGGGCCAGCTCTGAGAACAGCGTCCGCACGAGGCGCAGGTAGCGGCGGGGGTCGGTGCAGGCCGCACAGAGGGGGTTCCCGTGGAGGCGCAGCGCGCGGAGGGGCAGGCCGCGCGCGGGGGTGAGGGCGGCGAGGGAGGGGAGCGCGTTGTGCGCGGCGTCCAGCGAGCGGAGCCGCGGGGCGGCGCGGGGCAGCTCCAGCCCCTCCAGGCTCCTGCGACAGCGACCGCCTTTAATGTTTACCCGTAGACTCTTATATCGAAGTAAAATGTGTATAGACTGACTTTAAACGAAACGGTTGAATTTCTTCTCGATTCGTCTCTATTGTCGACCCCATGTGACCCTTTCTCTCTATTTATATTTAAGGGAGTCTTCCTATGTGATGGGTTGAAAAAATCGATTTTTTTTTTTCATAAATTGCTCCCTTAACATGTCTAGAATACGGTAGTAAAGCGATTTTAGAAAATTCGAAGTCGTTTTAAAGATACAGCAGGTAAAAGAAAGAGCGGTTCGGAGCGGTGAGTTGGCAGTTAGAGACCGGGCCTATTGTGTACCGTCGGCTTTATACCTGGCCTCCCTTTTATTAATATATTTGTTTATACAAGTTTAGACACGTTTCTACAGACTTAAACAGAAATTTCTATTGTTATAATATTTTACCGAAGTTATTTTAGTCTTGGTTGAACTTCGAAGAGAGCAACAGCTACAAATTATTTTTTTTCATAATGAGTGGACGGAAAGGAAGTACGAGTGGAAATGTTCATCCTGGTCGTATGAATTTTGTCCAGAAGGCGAAGACAGTTGGTGTAAATGGCGTAAGGCTGAAGCTAATAATGAACTGGACCAATTTCATCACGATAAACCACCTCTAATTCCGCAAGTCCAAGAAGCTATCAAACCGGTTTTCGAAGATTTATCGAAAGACGAATTATTAATTCGTTGTTTAGGAGCAGAGACACAAAACAATAACGAATCTTTGAATTCTTTGATTTGGACTTTCGCTCCTAAACATCTTCATTCTGGTCCCAAAGTTGTTGAAATTGCTAGCTACTTAGCAGTTATTATCTTTAATGAAGGTTTTCAAGGTATTTTAAAAGTTATGTCGATTATGGGATGCCCTGTTGGTCGTGAAGCCCAAGCGTATGTTGAGAAACGGGATGAAAAGCGAATCTTACGCTCTGAGCGGCGCGTAAGTGATGTCGTTAAACAAGCCAGGATTGACTCAAGAGCTGAACAATCTGCTTTAAAAGAGTTTCACGAGGAAGAGGAAGGAATACTCTATGGACCAGGCATCGCCGATTGAGAGTAAGTTGATATTTTAATAGTTTTTAACGATAAACTTTTAATTTTGCAGTTTTTAAAAGGATACATAAATTATAATTTTTAAAATCTTGTAAACCACTTTTCAGGCAAAATAAAGATTTTGTATTTGTATTATTTGTATTTCTCAAAACTGTGTTTTTCAAACTTTCCTCCATTGTATCTCAGAAACGGCTGGACCGAATTACTTGAAATTTACAGGGCACACTCAATATATGTAAACGCATGGAATGAACTATTATCAATCGAAAATTTTCAAAACTTCGATTTTTTTATAGCAAAAAACAAAAAAAAAAACGCCTAATTTGCAACTTTTATTTCAAATGTCTATCAAAAATCCAATTTTTTTTATATTCATTTGATTATAGGTCATTCCGTGCTTTTAAGCCTACAATTTTTTTTTTTTTTTTTTTTTTTTTTTTTCAGATAAGCCGATCAGCCGGAATCGTGGAGGAAGTGGGAGCTCTTTTTTTCGAGGCGGGGGTGTTCAGAGCGCTGTAACTCTAGTTTGACTGAATATTTTTAGCTGAAATTTTATATTTATACTGTCCAAATATGTGTTAATAAATGATAAAAAACTTGAAGCTCTAAATATTTACTGGTCGTAGAAAAAAAATCCTAAAATATCCCTAAAAAACAGGCCGTCACATAGGAAGACCCCCTTAATCGACAGCTTAAAATGTAAACATCGACCTCTCAACTTTCAAAACGACTATATTTTTATACAAACTTTCATCTCCTCTTTCAACTCCTCGCGAATTTTAATTACCATTATGAAATAGTCACCGTCCTTTCTTAGAATCTAAACTATCTGTATACTAAATTTCATTTTAATCAGTTCAGTAATTTTAACATAGAAACGAGACAAGCAGACAGACAAAGTTACTTTCACATTTATAATATTAGCGAGGACGACACCGTACTAAAGTAATTCATTTTATATATATTTTTTTTTATTTCATTTTAACCTGCAATCGGCTTACCAAGCCTTTAACAAATTGGTTGTGGGACTGTTGACGGGAGAGAACTATACCTCCAGTGAGGAAACTATCTCATCGGTGAATAAGATCCCATGCATGGAGTCTCTATTTCTTCTCTGATTGTTCTCATTCCTGTGTACTCATGCAATTCTGTTGTTCTAATGAATAGAGGTACAGCAGTTATGGTTTTGAGTGCTTTATTCTGAAACCGTTGCAAAATCTCTATGTTGGAATTCTTTGCTGATCCCCATAACTCGATACCGTATTGGCTTTATTATGGTTTTATAAATGAGTATCTTGTTTTCCATGGTTACATATGATCCTCTGCCCGTCAGCCAGTTCAGGTTTCTGAGCCGTGCATTTCATCGCGTTTTTTTTGGATGTGTGTTTTCCACGTTTGCTTGCTATCAAGATGTATGCCCAAATATTTTGCCGAGTCTTGATGGGGTAAAATGTCATCTCCAAGTTTAATCGGTGGGCAGTTGTCTTTTCTCAGGGTAAAGGTGACATGTACTGATTTGCTGGAGCTCACTTTAATGCGCCACTTTTCCATCCATTCATGTACCTTATTCAGGTGACTGCAAAACCATGGACGCAATGTTCGGATTTTCATTGTTGCAAAGTGCGGCAGTGTCATCGGCAAACGTAGCAAATAATATATTATCCGATCTTGGTATGTCTGCAGTGTACATAAGATACAGAATGGGACCCAAAGTGGAACCCTGCGGTACTCCGGCTTTTATATCTTGAAAGGTAGAGTAGGTGTCATTGATTTTGACTCTAAACAATCTGTCCTTTAAATAAGATTTTAAAAGTATGTAAAAGTTATGTGGAAGGTGTTTCTTCAGTTTGAATAGCAGTCCCGGGTGCCAAACCTTGTCAAATGCCTGTTGTACGTCAAGAAAAATAGCAGAGCAGTATTGCTTCTTCTCTAGAGCTTCTCTCATTTTGTTGACAACTCTATTGACTTGTTCAATTGTTGAATGGCCAACTCTGAATCCAAACTGATGTTGAAGGATAATTTCTTTTTTATTTAATACCTGTGTTAACCTTCGTAAAATTATCTTCTCAAATAATTTCGATAAGGTTGGAAGTAAGCTTATTGGTCTGTACGAAGACACAAGGTGTGGAGGTTTGCCAGGCTTGGGAATCATGACTATCTCTGAAACTTTCCATAGCTTTGGCACATGTCCAATCCTAATTATAATATTGAACAGTTGTGTTATACCGATAAAAAATATAATTAAATTTTAATACAACAATCTTATACTTGTTAATAGCTACAGTTTATGAAGTCTGTGATGATGCGATTTAAATAAAAATCCACACATTACTACTGGAGTAACTTTGTATATTACTTAGAAATGAATCGGTAATTGATATTAATCTTTGCTAGAGTTACAATATTATTTCATTTTTTAAATTAGCAATTTCACTAATATGTAATCCTATAGACTAATTTCACATCAGTCTACGGAGTGCAAAACTGAGTAGGGTGGTGGTGGTGGTGGTGGTGGTGGTGGTGGGACTCACGTGATCCGGTTGTGCGAGATGTCGAGGTGCGTGAGTCGCTCCCACCGCACGTGTCCGGCGACCTGCATCAGCTCGGCCTGGTTGGTGAGGCGTCGCAGCGGGAAGTAGATGAAGTGGCTCACGTCTGCAGCACGTGAATACAAACTACCGATTAGCACTAATTCATTAATAAGAGGAAATAAATCATAGTGATTAGAGCAGACCAGTCTCTACAAGCAGCACCCGTTCACGAGTATGACGGACGAGCCAGCCACCACTGCGCTCGACCATATTTTAGGGAGCCCAATGACCCGGCCCACCACGTCGCCACATGTCTGGACATTGTAGTGAGCGTGACTACTCAAACCAATACCTTTACCGCGGCGGTCCCCGAATGCCACATGTTTTTTATTTATTTACTCTTTTACACACAAATGTATACATGGCGGACTTAATGCCTCATTCTCTACCGATCAAGCGCCTTGTTGATCAGAAATAGTAAGGCGGTGCACTTTAATAATTAATTAAAAAAACATTAAACAAATAAATATTTATTATATAGATGATAATGGAATGATGCTCCCGCCTGCGCTAAGGATGGGGCACCAGTGGAGGATGAGTATATAATGAATATAAATTTAAGTCAGTTAGCCCATCGTGACGAATTCATTAAGAATGAATGGTTTCCAGGGAGGACCGCGTGCAGGTCCACCTAACATGGTAAATTGTTAACAATACCACCCATGAAGACAGCGGTGTTCCGTGTAAAGCAATCGAGAAGCTTAGTTCAGAAATTTAGTTTCGCAATTAATATGGAGTGTCATTTTAAAATAAAATAAAAAATGAGTACCGCTGCATGTACGGATTATTTTTGAAACTTCCGTATATAGTGTAGTAAATGAAACACGTCCGTAACCAGTGATATCTTATTTTAATGAGAGCGTCACACAAACCTACATATTTAGTTACAAAAAGGAATCACAATTACCAATATTACATCTCCACCAATATCTAATACTACATACTAGACTTATATACTATAACATCTAAGTACACAATTTACATAATAACACTTACCAAAAAGATACATCATGTATTTATAGGTAATGCTTATAAATAACCTTTATATTTAATATTTACTTCAACAGACATAAACATAACTAATCGAATTCAATGCCATATCTGCGAGTCGGTGTAGGGTTACGGTGCGGCCTGCGCCTGGGCATCTCCGAAGCGGAGGGTGAGGTCGCCGCGTCCGCGTCCGCGCCGCCGCCCGCTTAAATTCCGCACTCGAAAATCCGGATGGTAAGGGGACCCATTGTCGCTAACGATTTTTTTTTTTTTGGAATCCCAAAACGTGCCCACATTGTTCTTAATATGCCTATAACACAGTTCGCTGAGGTAGAGGAAACTTTTGATATTTCTATCCACTTAGAGTAAGAATCGACCGTAACAAGGTAAGTAGCTCCCTCTAGCGGGCCTAAAAAATCCAAATGTAAACGAGTCCAAGGTCACTCTGGCCACGGCCAAGAGCGTGGCGTATGCCGCTCTGGCGCATCAGCCACGCTCGCAGGCGCGGCATACCTCCACGGCCTCGTCCACGCCGGGCCACCGCACATAGCTGCGAGCTAACTGCTTACTTTTATTTATGCCCATATGAGCATCATGCAGTTCGTTTAAAACTCTTTCTGTACACGCTTTTGGAATCACAACCCTGCGGCCCCACATTATACAACCCAGTTCCTCATAAAGTTCGTGAGGTCTATTAAAAAAGGGTTTCAATTCTTTTATTTCAACCTCAGACGGCCGGCCGTCTTTTAAGTAACTTAAGACTCTGCTCAGTGTCGAGTCTCTTGCCGTCTCAATTTTTAATCGATTATAATCAAGCAACAGAGCCTCAGATGCGAAATGTAGATAAGTTTGTTCTGGACACTCCTGCCCGTCTCCTGAGCCGATTTCCTTGTAGGTCATTATCATTCTAGACAAGGCATCAGTCACATTTTCACTAGAACGGACATATTCAATATCAAAATCATAAGCGGTCAGTATGAGCGCCCATCGCTGTAATCTGCTCGCAGTCATGCTAGGTATATCGTGCTGTAGTCCAAAAATAGTAACTAATGGCTTGTGATTCGCAATTTAAACGGGCGACCATACAGATATTGATGAAATTTGTTAGCAGCGAACACTACGGCCAAGGCTTCTCTCTGATCTCTGGAGCTGAGTGTAGTCGAGGTCGGCTGGCGTGAGCGCCAGCACCGCGGCCGCAGCTCGCCGCCACTACGAGCGCGGCCTCCGGTCCTAGTGCGTTTTACTTCATCGAATGCGTACTGTTGCCGTTTACCCCACTCCCATAAAATATCTTTTTTTAACAAATAATAAAGTGGATGTAAGTCCATACTTAAATTCTTAATGAAACGGCTGTAAAAATTAACCATACCTATAAACGATCTCAATTCCGATATATCCCTCGGGATAGCCATATTTAATATAGGGGTCACCTCGTCCGGATCTGCATGTATACCGTCTTTATCAATTATATATACCAAATATTTAACTTTGTTGACAAAAAATGAGCACTTTTCTTTTTTTAATTTTAATCCGTGCCCTTTTTGACCTACTTAATACTTTATGCAATGTAAATGCAATAGGTGACTTTCTATTGAGTCCTCTCGAGTAGCTATCGACACATCGTCCAGGAAAGTTACGACACCCGGTATATCCTTGAATAGTTTTGCCATAATACGTTGAAATATTCCCGGGCTAGAGGAAAGGCCATAAACTAAATCTATCATAAACAAACAGCCCCCTATGTGTGTTTATTACCGTGTATTTTTTTGTATCATCTAATTCGATTTGAATATACGCTTGAGATAGGTCAATTTTGCTAAAATATTTGTACATAATTACTGTAGGGTGCGTTCTCACTCACCGGGCTGCAGAGTGAACGCCTGGAGGTTGAGGGTGACGTCTCCGTTGTCGTCGCCGTCGTGATAGCCGAGGGCGAGCCTCTTCCTCAGCATCATCTTGGGGACGAAGTCGAGCTGATACAGCGTGAGTGTGGTCACGGAGATGGACACGGCGAGCTGTACGCCGTCCACGTGTACCCTGAAGGCCAGCTTGTGTAGAGCCACCAGCGCCGCAAGGGACCGCACCACCAGGAACTTGCACTCCGCCGCCGAGAACTGACCGCACAGACACACACAACTCATGTCCACCAATTATATCATTATGATAACAGATCGGGATGATTTCAATATATATCATATCAGTACAGTAAAAAAACATTGAATCGTGTTTCCAGTGTATCAGTCGCTCCTTCAGATAGTGCTGCAAAGGCAATTCGCGCACCGGTGAAATGAATTAGTTATTATGTAAGAACGTATGTGGCAAGTAAGTATATAAGTATTGATTATGACAGTAAACAAGCAGTACCTATACACGGAAATGTCGTGGCTATCATTTACCTAACGAGAATGGCGACCCTGCATATATAATACATACAGTTCATAAAACATACAGTATGGATAGTAATGTAGGCCATGAGATCTCTAAAAAATATTTTAATAAAAAAAAGAGATATTTAGAGCTATAATTAACGCTTAGGAACCAGACAAAGAAAAAAGTAAAACAGACAACTAAGTGTGTTTAAGAAGTATTGTAGTGGTGTTACAATACTTCTTAAATATACTTAGCTGTCACATGTGGACACAATACTTAAATTAAACAGCAAATGAACCAGCGGGGTACTGCTAACAGCATACAACTACGTCGACACCGTCGGCAACTCTCACCTCTATAAAGCACGGTATAAAGCTCTTCCCCTCCAGATTGTCCAGAAGTCCGTCGAGCACCATTTCCTTGGTCCACGTGGGAGGGTAACCCTGCACCTGCAAACAAAGCAATACATAATCACTATTCACTATGTAACTTACTACACATCTTTATAACATTGTAAACGCGAAAGTTACGTATCCGTTTCTGTCGTATCCTTACATTTCAACGCTAGTTCCTTTAAACTGATTTCTTTATACTTCTTTATTTTTAATTAAATCCACAATTATAATCTCGATTGTTTATTTGATTCTTCACACAATAAGGACCGCTGTGGCCTCATGGTTTAGTACAATGCCTCAGTTCTGAAGGTAGCGGGTTCGCACGGTACAAACATTTGTATTCAAGAGTACGACTGTTTGTATCGGCTTCATTTATTTTATAATTGATACATTTCATTATTTATTTGTTTATTATTAATTTATTGAGATAATATTATTACTCAAACGGAGTCTGTTGTCACACGTCGCTATTTAGTGTTCACTTCTTAATACTTACAGTGACTTGAATGAAAAGGTTTTCCCGCTCGTAGTACTCCTCCATTTGTTCTTGTTCCAATATCATAACCGACTGTCAAAAATAACAATAACAAGATTAAGATATCATTGAGACAATATTAAAAACCAAATAATTAAGACGCAGGAAATTGATTGTACAGTATAAAACTATTACATCGTAACTGAATACTAATATGTCATTCAGTGTAGTCCAGTAAAATATTAAATTTAACATCATGTGACCAGGTTTGGCGCCATGTAAAAAAATAAGGCCGCAAATAAGATTTTTATTCTCTACAACTTTTATTTAATACTAGAGATGTACAAACATAACTCGAGTTGAAATTGAGGTAACTCGAGTTGAAACGAAATAGTTTATTTTTTTAATTTTTCGAACACTTCTAATGTTTTTGGCCGCATCAAGCCTTGAAAGTTTCACCGCACTTTAAGGGGCGAGTAGAAATGACACTTCAAAGCCGCGGAAGGTCTTATACAACGCATAATCATTTTAATAATAAAATAACCGGACGAATATGCGAAAAAAAAAATGATAACGATCTCAAATCAATATTGTGACGAGTGAAAATTGTATGATACGAAATGATTGGAAAATTTCATGTCATTATCAGTTCGATGACAGAATCATGCTCTCGCTCTTTCACTCGATTCGTTCATTTACCAGTTGAATACTTCCAACTCGAGTTGGCAGAAATCAACTCGAGTTAACTCGAATTCACCGCAACTCGAGTTAACTCGAGATAGTAACTCGAGTTGACACATCTCTATTTAAAACATTTTTCATATTTTTTACCGTTATTTTGAAATGAGGCGTTTTTCAACCATTTTTATTTTTTCATGCCTTTCTCGTCAACTTAAATCGAAATTTCTTTCTGAATATTATTATTTACGTATTTGCGGATTTATTTTTATATATTGCGCCAAAACTGGTCACATAATTACTAGATTGTAGACTGCCTGCTATTTCTGATATACATAAAAGTTTTGAACGTTAAATCAAATCAAAATATCTTCACTCATGTAGGTCTATTAGACTCTTATGATATGTTAAACCAACCGTCGATTCGGAATTGAAAAAGACGTTAGTGTCGTTTTAAAGATTTCTTTGAAAAGTGATTTTAAAGAAATCTTTATTCAAATAAACTCATTACAAGCACTTTCGAATAGTCATATGTTTGATTCTACCACTCATTCGCAACGCAGATTCGTTACAAGAAGAATGAGCGAGAAACTCGTGTGTTGCTCTTTTGAATAAAAGTGGGATTCAATAAACTCACAGGGAGATATATCATAGAAAGTAATATGGGAAACGAGATGTTGAAGCGATTTCCGAGAAGCCGTAGTGTTGGTATGGTGCAGAGCGGTGACCTTGGAGCTCCTGGCGGTGACCGTCTTCCGCAGCTGCATCGGCTTCTTCCAGGGCCACAGCGCCAGCTTCCGCACCACCATCTCGTCCGTGCTGGTCGTCAGCTCGGGCCGCTCGTGCACCGGCAGCTCCTCACGCTCGCCACTCTCACCACGCTCACCACTTTCCTCACGCTCGCCACGTTCCTCACGCTCACCACGTTCGCCACGCTCTCCTGCACCCGCCACCACCTCCCTGTAACAGTCAATTTCTGATATAATACCACATGCCGTGACGTAGTCTACTAACTCGGATGTAGATATATATAGATTAGGGTTCATGATTTCTCGAGCTTTTCAATTTCTCGGGTCTCGAGAATTCTCGAGGTCAATTTCTCGGGTCTTCTCGGGTTGTCGTGAAATTTACATTTACGTACGTTTTCTCATATTATTTGGATCCAATAACGTCAAAAAATTCAGTGGTTTTCCTCACAAATAAAAGTATCAAATTAAACTTTTATTGAGTATATTTAAAAACCTTAATATTACATATGAATATTTTTTTTTTAAATAGAGAAATAATATTAGATCCTTACATATGAAATTGGCGATTTGTCGTACTGGCCACTTTGATCTCAAATATCTCCTCTTTGGTTAGGATTTCCATTTCCAAATTTATACAGCTATTCACTTTGGGTCACTCACAGCATACAAAATGAAAAAACTTAAAATATCGCGTTATTTACGAGTACGAGTTCCGCTGTGGCACCAGAGCTACCCGGTGCTAAACGGCTCGAAGTATTAATGATGTGTATGGCAGTGGTCTCGCAAAAGAAAACACGTGCATTTTTGGTTCCAACGTTTTCGTTTTGGAAATTTCGACGAACCAACCAAATCCTGCCCCAAGCGAAATATGGCTCAAAAAATGTTACTTGTAAACGTTTGGTGGACTATTTACGGTGTTGTTCACTTCGGCTTTCTTAAATCTGGCCAGACGATTACGGCAAATGTGTATTGTCAGCAATTGAGAAACCATGATGGAAAAGCTAGCTGCTAAACAACCGAGGCTGGTCAATCGCCAAGAACGCTTAACCACATATTGCACAACAGACAGTTACCAAATTAAAAGAGCTTCAATTGGAATGTCTAAGACAACCACCGTTCTTTCCGGACCTTGCACCTACAGATTACCATTTTTTTTCGAAATTTGGATAACTACTTGCAAGGGAAAAAATTACACTCCGATGGGATAGTCCAAAGTGCAAAAACAAAAGGCAAAAGTGCATAAATAGAAATGGTACATACTTTGATTAAATAAATATATTTTATATATTATTTACTTTGATATATTTTGAAAAAAAAAAAACTTTATTTATATTCCCTTACAAAACGCCAATTTAAATTTTTTAGGACCTAATTATTCAGACTTATATTTATAATAATAGCACCATTTTTGGCTGCTTATTTAGATAAAAAAAAAAACAATGTAAACAAAAATAGTTTCTACAAAATAAAAAAATAACACGAAAGAAAACAAAAACGTTAATATCTTAAATTATTGCGCCGCCACGCAACAAAACAAAGGGCAATTTAATTTCTATATAGGTACATGATTTCTCGAGTTCTCGACTTTTCTCGAGCTTGATTTCCCGGGAACAAAACCCATGAATTTCCCGGGAATTCTCGAACCGAGAATTCCCGGGAATGAACCCTAATATAGATACACGAATTTCTTAGCATTCTTTGACTGAAGGGGCTACATTCATATTACACTGATAAATGTAATTATGGGAAGACGGTTTTGAAGAAAGAATTGTATATCAAAATGTATTTAAAGTATATAGGAGGTAAAAAAAGAAGAATAACAATGGTAACATACAATGTTTTTCTATATAAAATAATAGGCAATATAAAACATCATTATATAGTATAAAACAAAGTTGCTCGTCTCTAGTTGATTGTCTGTCTCTATGTATGCTGAAATCTTTAAAACTAAGCAAAAGTTTTTTTAAGTAGATTGATTTAAGAGGAAGATTTATATATACAATACATGTACGCCCGTACCAAGTCGGGGCGAGTGGCTAGTAAATAATACGTCATATTCTCTCGAGCGGCAGTGTGCCTGCACGCGGCCTGTGTCCCTAGCGACTTACTGGTGCGAGTCTGCTGGTGCAGCTTTACATTCATATTCTAGTATGGAACTTACTGCAGTCGTTTAGAACGTACTAGAAACAATTCGCTGGTATACCTCTCGCTCCCGTTGAAATCGCATATAAATAAATCATATAACTAACGGAATTAACGAAAAACGTATAATACATATATCGTTACCGGCCGATAGATATAAATGAAATATTAATGTATAGAAATAAGAGAGCCCCGCTCACGACCCCACCTGACGGAGTCCTCGTGGTCGCACAGCAGGTTGATGGTGAGCCGCGGCTGCTTGTGGGGGGCGTCCGCGGGGAGGCCGCCCCCTGCCGCGCCCCCTGCCGCGCCCCCTCCCGCTCCCCCTCCACCCCCACCACCCCCGGGGGGTCCGAGCCGTGAGAAGGCGCTGGGTCTCTTGCGGCCCCGCTCCACTCCCGCGCCGCACTCTGCACGCACACACTAAGTATATAAAACATATAATAATGTGACGTTTTAAGCAAGTAACAAACAAAACATTAATTACACGGCCTCGATGACGACTTCGCTGGTCTCTCAAATTAGCTCGTATGATGTACACATTTGAGTACGACTGTTTTGATTGCTTTGGTTCTTTTCTGTGTGTATGTATTTACAAAAACAAATGTATTGATGTATAGTAATTAGTAGTTGTGTAGTACTCGTAGCATAAGCTCTACTCAATTCGGGGCTTTGCTAGACGACGCTGTATGAATTGTTCAAGGTTGTTATTATAACAAAAGCAAAAACTATAACTATCGGCCAAATGTACCAAGTTTAATTCTATTTATTTTAGTATTAGTTTTTATTTCAATTAAAATATAAGTACAAATAATGCTGTGAAGGTTGGATCTCGGAGCGAGCCCTTTTATCCGGTACATCAACTCCGAGTAACTAGACTAACAACCAACCTCCTGGTGCGGGTGAATAAAAACGACTTCAATTAAATTACGAATTATTATAAGACAGTTTATATTATAAGAAATAAACATTATATTAACTCCAGAAGTACTCATACTTGAAGATTGATAATTTTATTTTCTATATTCTTTTGCCTGTTTCTTTGCGATAATATACTTTTGATAGTCCTTCAAGTATGAAATTTTCATATTTACTTAAGCTTTTTAATTTCCTGCCTGTCTATTTCAGTAACATGAGTACATAAGTGACCTGCGTGGTGGTCGTCGTCGTGGTTGTCATAGAGGTCTGAGGGCGAGTACGGACGCGACACGTCACCGAGCGGAGCGGCCACGGGCTGCGGAGACATCATCACACCATCACCGCCACCATCACCGCCACCTCCACCGCCACCACCATCACCACCACCGGCGGCAGGCGGGAGCGGCTGCCACAGCTCCGCCGCCGCTCCGGGCTGGGATCCCCAAGCGAACGAATGCTGGTACGGTTGCGGGACTTGTGTGTATTGTTCTAGAAATAAACAAGAAATTAATAAACCTAGACAATTAACACAGCGTCAAATTAAAAAATAATTTATTCATGTAGGACATTTTAGCCGCTTATGAACGTCAAATTTTTTATATTATAATTTTTTCCCTACAGTCCAGCTCATAGATCCAATTAAAAAGAATTGGCAACGAGTTTGTTGCCTATAGAATTTTTTTTTTAAAGCCATTTTATTTACAATGTTAGGTGTCTCTCTCTGTCTAATATAAAATGAAAATCCCGTGCATGAACAACTATTGCCATGTACGCTATCATGGTATGGGCATGTAATGCGTAGGAATGAAGATCATATCTTAAGAAAATGTGGATAAGGGCAGAGGAAGGCCGAAAAAGAGATGAATAGACTGTGTGAAAGATGATATGGTAAGAAAGGGAGTAAGTAACGAGATGACTGCGAACAGAGCAAAACATATTACGCCGACCCCAAATATAATATATTACAACACAACACCACGGTCACATACATCCACTGGTGCCTCGCCAGCGTATCAAATTGCTATTAATTAATACCTATATTATATTATAGTTTTATCTTCGAATCTTGGACTTTGTATTAAAACAAAATCTTAAAAATGTAATTAATTTATGTAAGCGAACAATGCGCAAGTTACTTGTTCGTTCTTCTTATGATGAGTCTGTTTTCCAAATAAGTGGTCGATAAAAAAAGAGTTAATATTAAGTCTACTAAAATAAAATAAATTTCTATTTGCATATATTTAGGATTATCTAGCCGTCGCTCACAGCCGAGCGAGAACTCAGTTGGTTGAAATTATCGAAATCTTTGTTAGCACTTTTTAGCTAAAATCAGACATAATAGTCTCACCGTGCGACTGCGGCAGGGGCGGGCGGGTCAACGACTCGTGTTTCTGAGCCACCAGGAAGCTCCTCGGGATGCCTGCAAGCAAACCATTTGAAAAAAACATCATTCATAATGTTGCACGACAATTCACACAGTGCCATCTAGTCCGAAGTTAAGCTAGCTAAAGCTTGTGTTATGGGTACTAGACAACTGATACAAATACATAGTTTTTTTCCCCGTAAATACATACATATTATACATAGATAGAATAAGACCCAGACCCATACAAACAATCATTCTCATGAATACAAATGTGTGCCATGCGAGGAATTGAACTTGCGACCATCGGAAGTAAAATGGTGTGCTAAACAAGGTCGCTTATGTGTGATGATGATGGTCTAGTGGTATAACATACAGCTTCACTATCCGATGGTCGCGGGTTCGAATCCTCGCACGGTACAAACATTTGTATTCATGAGTATGATTGTTTGTATCAGTCTGGTATCATCTATGTATAATATGTATTTATTTAAAAAAAAATGTATTTATGTATTTAAATCAGTTGTCTAGTATCCATAACACAAGCTCTGCTTAGCTTGAGACTACATGGCGCTGTGTGATGTTTTCTGTATTCGTTGTCTTGCATGTAGCTGGTGTGGTAAATAGACCGACTGTCCACTTCCAAGTAAGTGACGACTACGTCACCTATTGTAATACCTCAATATCCTGTAATTTCACTAACTCGTCTCATTCTTCGACCCGAAAATAGCTACAAAGCAAGTTGCTTGTCGACTAAAATAGGAGAGACTGTGGTTTAGTAGTTTTAGTCGATGCATCTATTTAATAAAATTAGTTACTCACCTTTAGGGATTGCCATCTCTAAAACAGAAAAAAAGACATGATTATTATCAATAACATTGTACGGGCAACCGCGCATGTCTGCTTACTGTGCAGTACACAATTGTCGACACATGCAATTTCACCTCATTACATTTCTTTTAGCTTAAAAGTAACACTCAAGCGAGGCTGTTTTATTTAGCAAAACCCCCTCATCATCAATCAATATATCAACTAATATCATTATCACGAAACTGTGGGCTTACCCCCACAAATATACTAGCTAAAATACCAGCAGTGCCTGTTTGAATTCGAAATAAAATCATATGCACTAATATTAAAATGGTAAAGTTCTGCATGTTACGTTTACACGATTAAATACCTGAACGGATGTCAAAGAAAGGCATGCAAATATATTGTGTTATGACCTATAAAGCAGATGAATTGGTGTGAAACAACCACTAGGTTCAAATATCCTGTTTGCCACGTTCTGTTTTATTTTCTTTTGCTAAGTCACTGAAAATCTGTTTTTGGCGTTCTCTAGATATGTACTGTTGATTAATGTATTAGATTGTAAGCTGTTGGTTTTCTAATAAATAAATAAATAAATATTCAATTTGTAAAAAGTCACACAGTCAAGTCAGTGAAGAACGCAAACATATCGGTCAAAACATTAAATTTCTGTGACTAGCTGGCAGGAATATGGACGAACATTCTAAATATCAATTGCCGACTTTCGTAACATAAGTACAACTGTATTTTATTTTTTTATGTACATACATGCTCTTTTTGGATTTTCTATATAAGTGGCAGTCCACTATTGCATCGCACGAGTGCAATGTGCACTCAATATTTATTAACCTTTTGTACACTTATAACCATGTATAACAGAATTTTTAAAACAGCATTAAAATATCTGTTGCGTAGTTTAAAAGATCTAAATGTACAGACAGCGACTGTCTGTCGTCTGTTTTTTACTATGTAAAGATATCATAATATTAAGTGGAGCTCTGTTCGTCCGAGTTCAAGACCGGAGAAGACAGAATCAAGGTATGCTCACAGGAGTGAGCACTTATCAATCATCATTATCAACATCGCCTTATTTTGTTACATTCGACGTGCTTTTATAGAAGACAATTAAAAAAATCATACAAAAACAATAATAATATAATCAACCAATATGGTGTCTTCTCCTTCCTATACTTATATGTTGATGATGATTCATGAAGATGCCTCGTTGTCGTGAGTAGTAAGTAATGATTGTTAGCGGTGTGTGTATTGTCAGTAGTTAGTACGCACCCGGCCACGGTTTCCATCGTCGGGGCTGCGTGGGCTGCGAGGACTGCGGCGGAGCGTAGACTGCGCTCGGCTGCATCACTGCAAATATACAATCATATATTATAATAATATGCAATGCGACATATCTATAAGAGAAACAATATTATATCATAACGAATAATCCTTATATAATGAAATATCTATATGAAATAAAGTACCCAACGCTGTCTGATCACTTCTATCTTTTAAATTACGCAACGGATTGAAAATAATACGAGTTGAGTTTCTTGTCAGTTCTTCTCATCTCGATATCATTCCGAACTGACGGTAGATTTGACATATCATAAGAGTCTGTAATAGACCTGAATAAAGATATTTTGAAATTTGAATTTGAATATAGTTTTCATCAATAGATAGAGTGATTTAAGAGGAAAGTTATATGTATAATACATTGCGTGTTATAGTATAGAACAAACAGTGAAATTTAAAGAAATGAAATTTATTTGTAATGCATTCGTACGAAGCCGGGACGCGGCGCTATTTTAATAATAAAGAATAAAGAATAGAATAGAAAATCATTTATTCAAATAAACTTACATTGAAGCACTTTTGAATAGTCCTTACATTTTTTTAATCTACCGCTCCTTCGGAAAGCTGTCTCATCACAAGAAAATTAGAAATGAAACCTATTTTTCATATATTTGATAATATGTTTCGTAATTATTTTCATAAAATGATACGCCACGTTGCTTACCGAACATACTGCTGAATATTGTATTTTTTAGCAGTGTATAAGTATATAGTGTAATAGTGATATAAAACATTTTCATAAACAAGTAACACATGTAATCCATCAATAACACATAACAAATCACCTGAAAATGTTGCAGATGACTGTGGGATGGTGTATAGAACAACGGGATCCTTTCCACTGGCCGCTGAGCTGGATTCCTTGTGCGGTTGAATGGTATTGACTGGAACAGAAACAGTTCCAACGGCTCAATATTTAGACAAATTAATTTAATTATATTTAGTTAAAATGTAAAAATATTAAATTCTTGTGTGTTATCACACTCTGAAATGGCTCGACCAATTCTTATAAAATTTAGTGTGTATATTCCATAGATCCAAGAATAGGATGTAAACTATTTTCATACCCTTAATCCATTTATTTATTCAAATTATACAATATTTATTCATATTATATGATATTTATTCAAATTATATACTTAATATTTATTCAAATTCCATAATATATATTCAAAATTTTATTTTATTTTTTTATGAGTCTGCATCAAATATATCTAGGACACTACATTTTCACCCTTCTGCCATCAACCCCTATTTTGAATGCTGATATTTAGATGGAATTTATAATAGCAAAACAATGTTTGCAGATCAGCTGGTAATATTGGTAACAAGATTAAACTTGATGTTGAATACTCTAAAGAGTATGTTTTCTTTTATTTATACAAAACAAGGAAAAATTTAAACAATACAATAAATCACTTTAACATTAATAGTTTGTTCAAATTTTTCACATTGTAGAATTACAGACCTATACACCACAGAATAGAAGTCAAAGTGTTAAAACATTTTTTTTCACAGTACACAAACCAATCATACAGAACACATAAAAACAATACAAACAGACAAACAGTAGGAAGATCTAAGCCATAGTCATAGGATGACCAGGCAGTCGGAGTGTGGCATCACCATGGTCATCAGGAATATGTTAATTTACCTTTTTGATTATCAATGTGTGGTTGTGGCTGGGTGTGGTCAGTTTTCATTTCATATTGTTTGTGAATGTCCTCAGGTGTACTGGGTCGTTCTCCCTCCGCTGCACTCTCACCACTATATAGAATCAGATAAAAGTCATTCTTTTGTTGGATATACACTATACATAACCACAATCCACTTTTCACTTTTACGGCTGATTGCGAGATCTGCGCTGGACTAGTTTTGAGTCAGTGTAAGACCTGTCTACTATACAATCATATTGGTTAGTAATTATATGTGTGCTGCTGAAATGCTGATTATACTAACATTCAAAATTGTATACTATGAGGGAGACAAAAATTGTAATAATACATAATTCACTTTTGTGTCTATGATTTCTTACACAAATTACTCATATATTATTTTGATTTTTACTTAAATATACAAGTATTGATATCTATCGTTCTATTGCCTAATTTTTAGTGACATCTAAAAGAAAATTCTCAAAGGAACTTATAATTGTGTCATAACCGCACATAGTACTTTTATTGAATTATAAATTTCTATACATGGTTTATTTTTGGCATGGTCACATTTACTAGTTAACCTGAAGGACGATCAGATAATTGAACACACACAGTGTTACTACATTCAGGTACTACTACTACCAACTGAGCCCAACCCAACAGGACATGAAGAGATCACTCACATGTGGACCGTAGCCGGTGTGTTCCCACCACAGCTTGTGGATGTCTCATTGCTACTTCCTGTATTGTTAGCTGTGGGTACATTAGGTTTACTGTCAATAGCAGGTCTTTTTGTAAATTTGTGTTTTTTCTTTTTTTTGGGCCTCACGTGTGGAGGCACGTACCCGCCAACTTTTACTGAGTTTGGGTATGGCGAGAGCTCGCCGGGCGGGCTAGCTGGTAATTCGGAACTCTGAATAAACTGAGCATCTAATGGTATATCTACGTCCGCCCAGAATTTAATTGAGGTAGATGTCTTCGGTTCTTTTTTTTGGAATGCCCTAAAAAGGAGGATTGGATAAATAGAAATTACATGTTATACACGGATTTAATGTAAGTTCTTGATACAGTATATTTTAATACAATAAACAAAGGCATAGGTTATGTGACAAAATGTAGGTTTTAAATAAGATTACATACGGATGTGACGGTTGCTGATTATATTTGATATTAAGTAAAGTTCGATTTCTATTCATTGTAACAATTTTATTAAATAGAAAAATTTAAGTAGGACTGCGAAAACTGAACTTGTTATTGTTTTGACAATATTTACAAGTGACAACTGACAATTTAAATGAAACAAATTAATGACATTTACGTCAATCACATTATTACATTTGGTAGGTTTTTTAAAGTGATAAACGACTTAAAATAGAAGTAAGGTTCCAAAAGCTTTAAACCAAATATTTATTTATGTATGATAATGGCATGGTGTGTGTACGAAAATCGTTAGGGTAGTAGGGGACCCTAACGATTTTCGATGGCGGGGCACCAGTGCAGGATGATAAAATCAGCAAAAGGTCAAGTCAGTTATCACATCGTTCAAACCTACATTTTGTCACAATTCACCTGATTACAATGAATTAATAATCCCCTTCCCACCTGGAATGTATGTATGTAGTTGTGTTGGCTATCAGATAGTACCTAATCTACCCATTTTCTAAACATCATCTTATGTGACTATTTGATTTATATGTTTCTGGAGTAGGTAAAATTTCAAGAACATCATTAAAAAATTAAAAGGTTTTATAAAAGACTTATAGTTATTATAGAAAAAAACATGGAATTACTGCGTAAATGATTTTAATGTCTTGGTAAACGGTTACCTGCTTAAGAGAACAGTGAATGTATTTAGATGTGCTTCTTTTATTAACTATTGCTGTTGGCGTATACATACACCTACGCCGAATAAAAATGGGGGTGACAGGGTACATTAAACCCGTTAAAAACTTATGAAGCGTAAGCCATCTCTTGCCTGACGAATACCACTTTAGTGTGAGAGCCTTTGTTGAATAATGACAATAAACTTCAGTCATGATTAATTTTATTTAGTATAAAATCTATCATGATACAATTACCTACCTAATACCGAGTGAGAACGGCTTGTTATACTCGAACTTTATCTTTTTATATATAAAATTCTCGTGTCACAATGTTACTTACCAGACTCCTCTGAAACGGCTTGAACGATTTTTATGAAATTTTGTATGCATATTCAGATTCGGCTACTATCTATTTTTCATACCCCTAAGTGATAAGGGTTGTCCATCTCTGATATTATTTTTTTATTTTTTGGGCAACATTTATTATTTGTTTTTATTATGTGTCATTAAAAATACATACAACCCTAAATTTTCACCCTTCTATCACCAACCCCTATTTTTTTATAGTGTTATTAATTTCTATGACAAAACAACGTTTGCCGGGACAGCTAGTATCTTAATAATATTATAAACGCGAAAGTTTGTGAGTATGTATCTTTGTTACTGTTTTACACAAAAACTACTGAATGGATTTTAATGAAACTTTACAGTAATATATGTAGCTTATGCATCAGAATAACATATAGGCTTTTTACTGAAATTTATATATTGAAATATAAAGCGAGTAAAACCGCGGGCACAACTAGTATTATCTATATTTACAAGCCAGTAATTATATAATAATAAGATATAGTAACAAGATATAAATGATATCTACTATTTTTTCTTTTTTTTTTGTAAACTAGCTACGCGCCCCACCTCTCACGGGTGTATCTACATTATTTTATACTTATAAACCTTCCTCTTGAATCACTATCTATCGCTAATAGTGAAATCCGTTGCGTAGTTTAAAAGATCTAAGCGAACACACAGCGGAAGCGACTTCATATGTATTATATTTATTGTACTGTGTAATAATAATAATAATAATAATAATCTCAGGACAATTCACACAGCGCCATCTAGACCCAAGCTAAGCTAGATAAAGCTTGTGTTATGGGTATTAGACAACTGATACAAATACACAGATATTTTTTTTCGTAAATACATACATATTATACATAGAAAATACCCAGACCGATACAAACAATCATACTCATGAATACAAATGTTTGTGCCGTGCGAGGAATCGAACCCGCGACCATCGGACGTAAAGCGGTATGCTAGACCGCCTGACCACTGTGTCAGTTGCCGTGTGTAAAGATTTCAACTTACAATAAGAGAAGATTAATTAGTATGCTTGTTCTTAATCATTGTTTGTGTACGGGACAGTGGCGGTGTCTGCTGTCGTACAGTAGGCATGTACTAGCAGCGAGCACACGTTGCAAGGGGGCACAGCATGCACTCAGCACTCAGCACTCACCACCCGCCGCCACTCAGCCCGGCCGCTTATAAAATGCAATATTGCTCGTTAAACCCACTTGACCTACGGTTCCCATTCACAGGCTGTTTTATTATTTCACGTTGTAAAAATATCGTGAAATATTACCTTGTAGCCTGAGGTTAAATAGGTAGGTACTCGTATACTGTTATACTGTGATACTGTTGCTGCTGTGTGCAAATAGTATTTAGTACGTTACATACCTATATTTTGCACGCTTAATATAAATACAGTGTGAATGCGTTAGGAATTTATCTGTTGTTAGCATAAATTTCTTGTTGTTGCGTTACTTTAAAATGACCTAAGTTTGTAATGTACAGTGCGGCATGAGGTACCCATGACATCTGCTTACAATTACTTATTACAGTTGTGCATTTTTTATTTTAATAACGTTTTTATGTGCATTACTAAAGAACCGATTGATTCTGCCTCATTCATACTTTCATTACCTAGATCACTTTCTGATTATTTTTTAATTAAAATGTAGCTTATGTTACACTGATAGATAGGTTTATTGCTACCTAATATCTGTCTATTATTATCTGTGCATACGTCAAAATTTATAATGATCTGTTCAGCCGTTTAGTCGTGAAATGAAACAACAACAAAAGAACGTCTGTTCTTTCAGTCTCGATAGTTTTATTACTAAGTAATATAGGGATTGTTAGTAATGTGGACACGATGATCTTAATGCTGACAATTTACCACGTTAGATTGACCTCCACGCGGTTCCCCCTGGAAAACATCGTGATAAATTCTTTGTAAATTTGTCACGATGGGCTAACTGACCTGACCTCATGGTCATCTTATCATCCACCACTGGTGCCCCGCCAGCGTCAACCGTTAGCGCAGGCGGGTGTACCGTTCCATTATCATCCATAAAAAAAATAGACTATATAACTGAGGTATTAGGTATTAGGATATTAGAGTAGGTATAGAAACATTATACACAGATACTAGCAAAAAGCAATTAAGTACATAAATTAGTTCGCGTAGTCATAGCCCTGACAAATTGCTAGTTGAGAATATTTTTTTATAAGTATAATAAATGAGAGTTTCTCTGTTTGTTTTATACTTTTGTGACTTACTTTTGTTACTCCATATTGGCGATCGTCGTGGTGATGTGAATCTTCCCACCGTTATTCTGAGTAAAGGTCTGGTGCCAAGAAGTGGGGCACCAGGTTGGTATGTGTTCTATGATGCCTTGCTACGCATCTGTATATACGACTATACTGTATACATGTATACTGTATGTCTCGTATGTATGTACATATACATGGATACACTATTTAACGGTATCAAGGTATGGGCCTGTACGAGAACATAATAATTGTAGCTGCCTGTGTTATTGAAACACGTTAATATGTAGGTCGTGATCCCGAATGTATCGGTGGCCGAAGAAAATTAAATAATAAGTATGAACTGTAACTAAGTGTCAGTACTAGGATTGAACTGGTGCCAACCGGGACATTTTGATAGTGTGTGCTAATTAAATTAAGGAAAATAAAACTATATTTAATACATAATATTGTACGTGACGAGTATAACGTGTGATAAAATAATACAATTATACAATCCCAGTTTCACGTGGCTCGCTCGGATCTTATGGCGTCTACTCGATTCTGTGATGTTTGATGAAATAAAGTTTTGTGAGGTTTCATTTTGATGTAGTCAAGAAATGTTCGCACGACCATCATAATATTAAAAAGTACATGCATTCTAATGAATAGGCTGTTCTTATATTTGTAGTACCACGAAAAAAAACTGATAATGTTATATTTTTGTTATGTCAACACAATTTTTATTTTTGTGTCACATATTTCCTATTCAATGTTAGAAAAAGCATTACAAAATGAAGTGTGATGGTAGCTATTCTTCTATCTTTATTTAATATAATCACAGATAAGTGTTGTACATAATAGAAATCAGTACAATTCTTTAAATTGTTAATCTATATGCCAATAAGTAGTACGTGGCCGGTCACACTTAACAAGTCCGCGGAACCCAAAGTTCTAGCCACGGAACTACAGAATTTTTCGACTGAAAATCACTACTTTTACGTTGTTTTAATCAGAGGGCGAGTGAGACTTCCCATGCTTTTTGATTGAAACATGAAACAAGTCGCAATCTATCACTGGGCTGTGTCAGGAGCCTTTATGTAACGCGTTTCGTATAGTTCGACCTAAAATCTTTGGTGCCACGTTCTCGAATGATTGGCTAGGTGTGTGTTGAATCATATTTCTAGCAGATTTCAAAAAGAGAATCATCCTAATGATTTTATACAACGAATTGTTAAATTATTACCGTTTCGTTCTAAGTGTTCAAGCAATCGGATTTTTTTGTGGAATAAAATACAATTAAGTATACTCCAACTGTTATGTACTTGTTTAATGTTAAATACTTTAACTGCGATTGCATAGGTATCTACGTTTAATCGATACAAAGAAGAAAAAACTTTTGTTCAACAAATATTATGCGAGTGACTTAAAACATTGGAAATTGTTAGAAAAGACAATGTGTTTTTCTTTACGAGTTTCAAGATATATATATCTGAAGTTATTTAGAAGTTTTATATTGAAGAATCGTATCACTCGATCACGAAAATACAAGAAGTTTGGCAAGTCAAAGAAACTGAAAGTGTCATGGCGGCGACGTTAGCTCTCACATGGTATTGTTTTGTGACTTCTAATTAACGTTACGAAGTACGACTATGTCTATACTACACATACCGCTTAATGAACACTTGCTTCTCACACACACACACACACAAACACACGCACACATTCACACGTATTGGGTATATCCTGCAAAATGTTATTTTATCTTCAATACTCTGTTTTTATGTGACTGAGTTTCAGATGGATTTATATAAAGGAAAATTCCAGTGCCAACACGTGCATACGGTACGAGATGTCGGAAATGTACCGCCAATTAACATTTCATATTTCATACCTACATAACAAGCCCATCCGTATTTATTTTACTTATATTCTTTTGCAACTTTTCTGATTTATTTTTTACTAGCTACTCGCCCCGGCTTCGTGCAGGTATATGTATGTATTATATATATAAACCTTCCTCTTGAATCACTCTATCTATTAAAATTAACACCTTCAAAATCCGTTGCGTTGTTTTAAAGATTTAAGCATACATAGGGACAGACAGCGACAGCGACTTTGTTTTATATTAGGTAATGATTTTTTTTATACTACGTCTTCGGCAAATAGGAATACGATCTATCTAATGGTAAAAGGTTACTGTAGCTTATGAAAGCATAAGATACCAGGGGTATCACGTGCCGTTGCTAACCTTTCAGAAACCTGAATATACCCTTCCTGAAACATCCTATGCTTTAGTCTTGCCAGAAAACCTTGGTATGGAGTTCATTCCAAGAAATGTAGTAATACGGTAGGAAGATCCTCCGAAACCGCACTGTTCGGGAGCACTTACGAGCAGGTTCCAGTGTCATTCCTATCATCGTTTTCATTACATGCCTTCGTAACATTCTTGCTATGTTCTTCTTTTTCATATGTATCGTCACATTACTATTTGTACGTAGGTATGGTATATAGATATGTTATATGTGCGTTATTGGCTAGAATAAAGCTAAAATAGTGACGGAGGGCTCAACTTTTAGATAAACCTAGATATTGAAACGAATGGTGTTCGGTAATATTCCTCTGTTCAATATTTGGATTGTACAATTTGCTCACGCTTCATCTTTTATCAAATTTGTTATTTTTCGTTTTGACTAGACAGTAATTCTGATATTTCAGAATTGTACATTGCTATTGAACGCATTTTCTGAATGTTTTCGAACTTTAAACAAGATTTCACGTATTTCTGTGGTACAAGCGGCTCGTTCACACTTTGTGTTCCACAGCAAAGGGTGCGATAATAGAAGAGAAATGACTGATTGTTCAGTTATTTGCTTATGGTACTGATGATATACTTCCTCATAGAGAGATGATTTTAATAATGGGTACACTACTTTAAAACTCTGTCTCTTCCAGGGTTATTCTGTTTAGTGCCTGCCATGTGTTTGGACAAAGTCTAGATAGCATGCCGTTTGAGAACAATGGTGTATGCAGCAAAATGATCTGCAACACATTGGAGAAATTGAATGAATTAAAGAACTGCATGGTAGTGGTTGGAAACCTTCAAGTTTCGCTTTTAGAGAAAGCGAAGAGAGACGATTTTGAGGGAATATCGTTTAATCTCAGAGAGGTAAGTAGAAAGTCTCGTGTACTTTTAAATTCAGGCCTGAGCGCCTCAGAAAATGTATATAATTCACAAAGAATATTTTTTGCCGACTAAACTGAGTAAGAACAGTTGAAGCAGCTTTTGTTACGTACATTTTGTGAGATTTCCAACTGTCATTGCAATAGAGATGTTTTTGTACAGGTTACTGGATATGTGGTGTTCTATCGAGTGATTGGTTTAGAGTCAATCGGACAGTTGTTCCCGAACCTGACTAGAATACGAGGAGCACAATTATTGAACGACTATTCACTGATCGTTTACGACATGCCCAATCTCAAAGAGGTTAGTACATTCTAGCTTCGGCCTAGGCGGCCGGTGACCTAGCGCTTTAACACACCACCGCTTCACCTACTTTCGACTGTCTCGGGTTAGATTCCTGTACAGTACAAATATTTTTATCTATTGTAAATTGTTTAAATTTTTTCATAAATTATCTAATTTCTATTGCAGCCTTAGCCCTTCTCAACAGATTAACTTAATACGTTAAATTGATTTTTCTAATTTCTTTAGGCAACTATGTTATGCGTTAAAGACTTATCTTCTATATAAGATTCTATTCTATTTGAACGTGGTATATGTTTAGTTTTCATTAATACGTATCGATTTAGTTGCTGTAGTTGTGTGTAGTTGTGTGTCATGCGTTTCAGATCGGCTTGTACAGTCTGTTGAGAATAGATCGGGGCGGGATAATAGTGTGGGCCGCGCCGCAGGCCTGTTACCTGAACACGATCAATTGGAAGATCATAGCGCCCAGGTCCCGCCACGTGCTTGGCTCGTCCGACGTTAAGATGCAATGCGTCTCCACGTGCAGGTGTACTAGTGATGTGGAAACGAACTACTGCTGGAATTACAAGTCGGTGGACCATAATGAATATATAATTATTTTTTTTATACTACGATGGTGGCATACGGCCCATCTGATGGTAAATGGTTACCGTAGCCTATGAACGCCTGAATCACGAGAGGTGTCGACCGCGTATAAATATAAAATAAATAAGTTCGTTTTATACAATTTTAATTGCAACATTTTATTTTAGACACAAGTTTTTGTAGACTAATCTCTCTAAATATATAAAATGTATTGTTTTGCTACAAAATATTGCGAGTAATGTATTGTTGATAATTAAAAATCTTGATACTTTTACATAATGAATAAAATATTTAATAAGATTCTGTTTAATTATATATAAATGTAGCTTATCTGTGTAGCATTATGCAACACATTATTTTTGATGACTATTTAATAAGAATGATAATAATGTGTGTACAGAAAATGTCAGCGTTACGTAGAGGGGCCTGAAGCAGACAAATGCAGCGAACAATGTCTCGGCTGTAAGAAGACCAACGGAAACAGTTGCAGTGTTTGTCGAAATTATACATACAAAGGGCGCTGTCTGTCCAAATGTCCAAATAATACGTTAGTATTACCGTCATTTTTTTATATATCCAGATGGTGGTAAACAAACATACGTCCCGTCTAATGGTAAACGGTCACCGTAAGTTATGGACGTCTGAAACTGAAAAACCAACAGGGGTATTATTTGCACGTTGCCGAACCTAAGAAACCTTAACATTTTTTTTGACAATACCCATGCTGTAGTCTCTAAAGAAAACTACAGCAGGTACACTACATTCCACAATATAAGTGTACGCGGGAAGATGCGCCTTTGAAACCGCGCCGTCCGAGATCACTTAGGTGTAGGGATAACATCCCTGTCTGTATATTCAGGCCACAGTTATCGCTTACAATTAGGTGGGACCTCAGCTTGTTTACCATTGTAGGTACATAAAGAAATGTTGTTATATAATTTTAGCATCTTCTATTTTAATAACAATGAATTTCTTAATTTTAATGTCACAATGCTCTGTACACATGTAATTGAATAAGACATTTATATTATTTCAGATTACTTCTATCAATGAACAAGTATTGTTTAGATAAAGAAGAATGCTCTCATTTAAAAGGATGGCCATGGAACAACACCTGTGTCTTTGATTGCCCACTGGGCTACGTCGTTTCTAACATCTCAAATAACATAAGCTGCAGACTCTGTCCCAAATGTCACAAGGTTAATTATAACTTTTATTTGAATAGTATCTAACAATGGAGAAGCGACAACTCAAATCTTTATTATAATTGTAAATGGATCAGTTAGTTTGAATCATTTTAAATAAGTTGCTAATTTTAAATTAGCGTCTAAGATGTACTGAAATGTTGTTATTTACTGTGAAATTTACTTGGTGGAAAATAAATGTAGTGTTGAATTTCAGACTTGCAACAGTTTGGTTATACAAGCAACGAGCGCCATACAGGCCGCTCAGAGGTGCGTCTACATCAACGGCTCCCTCACAGTACACATCAGAGCGATTCCAGAAGCAATGGATGAACTGAGAACATACCTCGGTCAGATAGAAGAAGTTTCAGACTTTATTGTCATTTATGGATCACTCGTTATAACGTCCTTAGAATTCTTATCCTCTCTTCGGTATATCGGTGGTAGAAATTTAAAAGACAATAAATACAGTCTCGTCGTAGACGGTATGGTTAATCTTCAATCGTTATTCACCCCAAACGTGACGAATAATCTAAAAATTGGCCGCGGCGCGCTTAACTTCTCCCGTAATCCCGTTTTGTGTATCAACCACATAGAACAATTGAATCGTTTGTTTCCAGTGAAGCCTGACAATTCTGATCTACTGCACAGTAACGGTTACAGCGGTGGCTGCAAGTACGCGTCCGTGGGCCTTCAAATACGAGTAGTGAACGAAAGTTCTGCTCTGGTGATGTTCACTCCAATGGAGGAGCCGGACGTACACTACACCATATTGTACATACGGCTACCCATCGGGTCGCACAAGATGTTTGTGCCTGAAACTTGCAGTGACTCTGAATGGCATGCTATAAATGTTCCAATACATTTTGGTAAAAATGGTCTAGTGGAACTGACATCTTTGCGACCAGCGTCCACTTACGCACTATGTATAGAAAGTTATGACGCTCCACGAAAATATCTTGCAAGAAGCACCATTTTCAATTTTACGACACCAGTTGGCAAACCAGAGCCACCTTTTATTTCTGAACTAGTCGCAAATTCTTCAACGCTTGTAGTTTTGAGATGGGTGGACCACAAAGTGTACCGTCCGCATATAACGCGATATGAAATTGATTTAACTATTATAGATATTAATTTAAAAAATGTGGGGATTCGAAATCATTGCAAAGACGACAATATACCGGAAATAGACTACTTTCGCCACGCCGTGGTGATGAGACCTCCATCTGATTATGATAGAAGCTGCGAATCAATGTGTGGAGTTCTGTCGACTGTCACCGCGGGTGCTCTAGTTGAAGATTACCTTGATTTTTGTAGTGACGAAGATTCTGACTGCAATATTGATGAGGAGAAGGCTCCTACTAATACAACGTTAGGAAGGTTTGTTCGTACCATGTTTCTAAATATTAGTGGACCACAGAATGACTTTCAAATCGGTGGCTTAGCACCGTATAGAGATTATAGATTCCGGTTGCGCGCTTGTGTTGGAGATATTTGCAGTCGCTCTGCACGAAGTGTGGTTAGAACTTTGTATTCAGATTATGCGGATGTACCTAAGTTAACTTATGCGAATGCGAACGACGACGGTGAGATTTCGGTAAAATGGAAACCGCCTGATTTTGTGAACGGCATTGTACTGTCCTACTCTGTGCAAGTGCTCATTCCAAAAATTACAGAGACTGATGACATTGAATTCTCACCAAATGTGTGGTGTGTAGCTGCTGAGAAATTTAATTTAGTTGTTAAGTATATAGTAACGAAAAAATACTACGTCAGAGTTTGTTCATCCAGCCTTGCACAGAGCAATGCGTGTGGTGAGTGGAAAACTGTCATTGCAGTCACAGAGTACACTCAGAACTGGTGGTTTGCTGTTCTGTTCGGGCTTTTGTTATTTATAACTTCGATTGCGGTGTGTGTATATTGTAAGAAAAGAGATAATACAGACCAGGTTCCTCTTATAGACATGACGCCTACATATAATATGACCGATACTGAACCGCCTTTCATGTTATCAGACCTAGTGCCTCTCTCCGTGTTTGTAGATCACAATAATTATACAATGTAAAATTTTAAGAGACCTACAATAAAATATTTTATACATAAAACTATTATCATTGTAATTCATACCATACTATATCATACCAGCCTGTTATAAATCTGCCTGAAAGATTTAAATGTCATATAAAACACTTGCTTTGTAAAAAGCTTACCTACTATAAAATTGAAGAGTTCATTAACGATAATAATGTTTTTATAGAAAAACTTAAAATCCATAGCGCTGACAATATTATCTGATTGCACTAAGAATGAGTGCGTAGCGGTTTCCATGTTGATTATCGCATGCCTCTTATATCTTATACTGTAATTATTTACATATAAAAAAACCTATTCAAAAGAGCAAGCTTCTTGCTCATTCTTCTTGTGATGAATCTGCATTGCGAATGAGTGGTAGAATCAAAATATGAGTATTCAAAAGTGCTTGTAATGAGTTTATTTGAAAAAGATTATTTCTATTTCTATTTATTCTGTTTTTTTTTTAATGATATAGAAAAAGAATATAGACAAGAAAGAGAAACTGCTCACATTTCTCGGTGCATTTCATTGGATGCCTTCAGACACCGCCCCGTCTAGGCAATTTCCTATGGGTGGAGTATAAATCTATATTAAATTTACAACAAACTAAGTGGTTGTTACGCAGAGGATATTACTCACTAACCAATAGATATTTCGAGTTTTATTTTATTACTTTCCTAAAAATTTTAAACGTATAAAATTCTTTCCCTAAACTCGGTGACAGTCAAACATACAGCTGTATTTCTTATTAATATTATAAATGCGAAAGTTTGTGAGTATGGATGTATATTTGTTACTCTTTCACGCATAATCTACTGAACGGATTTTGATGAAATTTTACAGTAATGCAGCTATCAGAATAACATATAGGCTATAAATTTCACAGACACGGGTGAAACCACAGGCACAGCTAATATAATAATATAATCGGTCGGTACTCACGGAACGGTGAACAACAAACTTTTCATTCATAACTGATTATGAAATTCAGTTACCAAAATGGACGAACGGAGTCTGTTTAATAAATGACAGCTCTCAATTCGTGTAGTGATGAAAAGCCGTAATAATATTTACTCTTGCTTATTTAAATTCGACGAACAACAACTACGAAACGAAAGGGAACATTAATTAATTAGATTCACGACGGACACAAAGTAACTGCTGGAAGTGTTTATATTAATATACTAGCTGTTCCCGCGACTTCTGCCGCGTGGAATTTAACTTTATTTTTCTAAAATAAAATTAGCCTAAGTTACTCCTTATTACATCAGCTACCTGCCAATAAAGGTCCCGTTAAAATAGGTTCAGCCATTTCAGAGATTAGTCAAAACAAACAGACAGACAGATAAAAATTGTAAAAAATATTATTTTGGTAAATGTTCCGCATTTTTGTTCATATGCATGTATTAAATAACGGTTATTTCAATATTACAAACAGACACTCCAATTTTATTTATATGTATAGACCGTATATGTTTATCTTAGTTAAGTGTTTAAAAATGTTGCGAGTACAATTATTGAACATCATTAAGTCATCGCCTTTATTAATTAGTGCCTCAAATTAACAATTTCGCATTTCGTTGCTCATCATTGGGTTATATTATTTTTGCGTATTTGATATAATATAGATAGATAGATAGAATATACTTTATTTCGAACATACAGTAAAGAAGAGGCACAAACAATATAACAAAGGATATGTATCGTTACAATAAGGCGGCCTTATTGCTGAAAGCAATCTTTTTAAGGCAACCTTTGGGAAATGGATTGAAATTTTTTCAATTTGATTATTTAATTGAATTAGTGCTAATTGGCAGTTTGTATTCACACACTTAAACTTAAAAATGTAAAATAAGAATAAAATTATTTAAAAGAGCAATACGCAAATTTCTCGCTCGTTCTTCTTGTGATGAGACAGCTTTCCGAACGAGCGGTAGATTTAAAAAAATGTGATGACTATTCAAAAGTGCTTCAATGTAACTTTATTTGATTAAATGAATTTCTATTCTTTTTCTAAATGAAATATCGAACAGGTAGGTAATATGACATGAACAGGCGTAAACTAAAAATTAACAAAATATAATGATGATGAAGGAAAATAGTAAATAGTATTATATGATATAACTATTGGAATATTCCAACATTTGGTGGTAATGAATATGCGGTTTCAGAGGAGCTTCCTCCCGCGTACACTTACATTGTGGAATGAACTTCCTGCCGAGGTTTTTCCACGAGACTACAGCATGGGGTTTACAGCGTCCATAGGCTACGGTAACCATTTACCATCAGAAGGGCCGTATGCTTGATTGCCACCATCGTAGTATAAAAAAAATACGTTTGATTTAGTTTTCGTTCAATCTTCAGTTCAAGTACATCATGTGTTCATTTAGAATTAGTAAATTATTGCATATTTATTGTCATAGAGTTTCGTTAGTGTACCGGTAGCGCCGCCCTCGCTCTGTGTACGTACCTGCCCATTATCTCCCGTTCTCGAGGGAATTTAGAAAAATTCTTTCCTCGTACAATTTTATTTCACATCTAAGGAGCTTTTATGCAAACTCCATGTTTTCAGATTCACTATTTTTTGTATTGAGAAATTTCGTTGTTCTTGTTCAGTTTCTACTTCTACACGACTGATTTAATCTTACTTAAAAAATTAGTGCTGGTTAGTAGTTTGTATTCACACGTTTCGACTTGTAAATGTAAACTTACAAGGATTATTTAAAAGAGCAACACACAAGTTTCTTGCTCGTTCTTCTTGTGATGAGAAAGATTTCCGAACGAGCGGTAGATAAAAAAAATTGTTATGACTATTCAAAAGTGCTTAAATTAAGTTTATTTGAATAAATGATTTTCTATTCTATTCTATTTTATCTATTCTACAGAGGTGCTCATTCAGAATAGTCTAAATAAATTTCATTTGAAAACTCTGTTTAATCACACTATCTCTTCCAATAAATTTTCTTTCCGCTATCCTTCCTTTATACTAAACTAGCTACTCACCTAGGCGTCGCCCGGGTGTACATGTATTATACATATAAACCTTCCTCTAGAATCACTGTATCTAGTAAAAAAAACCGCTCAAAATCCGTTGCGTAGTTTTAAAGATTTAAGCATACATAAGGACGGACAGACAGCGACAGCGACTTTGTTATATACTATGTAATGATTGTCTCTTTCTTAATTGCATATTAAATAATTACCGAATACATATATTTCTTTAATTTTAAATGATACATTTTATGTGTTTTATGTATAAGATATGTATATATATATATATTACTATTATTATTTATGTTTATTCATTCCATCTTGCGCCTTCCACCACCTTCTGTCTTTTCTCTTCTACCCAAAGTATGTCTGGAAGAGATTCCCCTTTAGTACCTACATACTATAAAGGTACAATAAAGAGTTATAAATAAGTTAAAAAAATATATATATAATTAACAAATAATTTACCTAACAAAATACAGGATCTACCTTGGTAGTATCGTGAAGTACAGACAGACGTACAAATTTCTGTTGTGAAGCTACAATTCGTGCGGTACCCTGACAATAGTGCAATTGTTGTCACAGACAGTACAATGGTAGTATCACCGTCACGTGTGACGTGATGACACTGGGATACGTAATATTTGATGTCCAGACCTTTCTGTTACTATCAAATAACCGCAACAAATTATTGTGTCAAGCTTATACGTAAGTATGGCGTCGAAAGACTAGGTACTTACTACTTACAAACCTTTAAAAGCTAAAGTTTAGTATAAAATAAACGACTACTTATATATACGATATCGAAACCTTCAAGAAATGAGCTTATTTCTTTTTAAAAGCCCGACAACGTACTTGCAATTTCCTTGGTGTTGCGGGTGCTCATGGGCGGCGGTAATCACTTACCATCAGGTGATGCGGCTCACCTGATGGTAAGTGATTACTGCTGCTCATGAGCAGCAAAGAAATAAGTTCGTTTGTCCCCTGTGTTATAAAAAAACTTAAATTACTGCAATGCGTGGACTTAATTACAATTTTAACTTTTGTTCTGAGGCATATAACTTTCCCATTGACATAATAATCACTGTATTAAACGTCACATAAACTTATTATAAAATTATTAATGACATGTTGTAATTTAAATAATATAAATTAAATATTGTAATGGGTGAAAACTGTGATCGGTACAGCCTATGCTGTAAATAATATAAATGACGTAGTGGAGTAACTTGAAACAGTCATGCTCGCTATAAAGTTCAAACTTGTGGCGGCGTGGTGGGCCGGGTCGATGTGCTCCCTCTAATATGGTTGAGTGCAATAATGGCTGGCTCATTCGTCATACTCGTGAACTGGTGCTGCTTCTGGGGACTGGTCTGTTTGGGTTACGAACACTGATTACACTATTTGTTTTTGCAATAGCATATGCTGGTGGTCACTCTATTTTCCAAAATTTGAAATTTAATGACTGTGTATCATTATAAACATGTACAACATTTATTTGAGAAGAATACGAGTTGAGTTTCTTGTCAGTTCTTCTCATCTCGAAATCATTCCGAACTGACGGTACATTTGACATATCATAAGAGTCTGTGATAGACCTACATGAATAAAGATATTTTGAATTTCAATTTCTTATTTAATTCTGTTTCATAACTCATATCATGTATACAGGACGGTTCCGTAGCCTTTTGATTAATTATAATTGCTTTACAAAACTAAAGTACACACGACGGTACGTTACTAAGTGCATACTTATATATTCCGTGCTAGCAGCTCCACAAAAATAATTTGAAATTCATCAGCGACAAGTGCTCTACGTTTATTTTACACTAGCCGATACCCGCGACTTCGTCAGTCCGTGGAATTTAACGTTAATTTTCTAAAATAAAATTAGTCTAAGTTACTCCTTATGACATTAGCTATCTGCCAATAAAAATCCCGTCAAAATCGGTTTAGCCATTTCAGAGATTAGCCGGAACAAACAAACAGACAGACAGACAAAAATTGTAAAAAGTGTTATTTTGGTGTATGTACCGTATTTATATTCATATGCATGTAGTAAAAAACAGTTGCTTCTATATTACAAACAGACACTCCAATTTTATTTATATGTATAGATTTA